GGAGGAGGAGGAGGAGGACCGCGGTCGCGCCCGGCGGGCTGGCCGCGGCGGGGCGGGCCGAGCTGGCGCTCACAGCGCTAACGGCAGGTTCGCGTCCCGACCGGGTTCCGCGCTGATTCGGGCGCGGCCCGCTCCGTGTCCCACCCGGCCCGCTCTCGCAGTTCGGCCCAGCTCCACGCCTGCCCGGCGAGGCCTTCCCTGGACTGCCTCTGGGGCTCGGGGGACAAGGGCTGTGCATGTACACCGATCTTTGTCAGGAATGGTCCAGGATCGGTGTATACGACAGATTCGCGTCGAGTCGACCGCTGGCGACCCCGCCGCCTGCGTTCAACGTTGAACGTCGCCAGCGGCCTCGAATCGGTCGATGTGGAACGATCGGACGTTTTGGAGACGGCCGATCGTTCAAGGTTGACCGATCCCCGCGGTGGCAGAAACCAACGCCGAAGGCGGCACGACACGAACCTGTCGTAGCACGGGATCTGGGGTCCGTGTATCGGCTGCATGCGCAGGACAACCCTGCTTAGTTGCCGTGGCTCCGCCCTTTTCCTTTTTTTGAACTGTCCAAGGTCTCGCGTCTTGGCACGCCGATTGCAGGTTGGACCCAAGGTGATTCTGGGTTCGCTTAGTGCAGATGTATGTTTGGGCAATGTTGGTGTGTTTGTTGAGGGGAGAAACACACAACAGCCTGGGTAGAGCTGGGTCACGCGGTGTCAGAAGCAGAGGGCAGCATTGTATCGTAGTTTGGGTTTGGTGCCGGCTGGGGGTCGGAGGTGGCCCAGCATTGGTTCCAGCGAGTGGTTCGAGGTGCTGAGTTCGACAAGGTTTTTGGCCTCGGACAGTCAGGGGCCCATTTCCAAGCCAGATCCGGGGTGAAAACTGCACTGGGTGGACCACCGGAGGGGTCCATGGACCGCTTTGGATCGGATCTGTCCCTTTCCCCTCTTCTTGACTGATTTGTCTCGAGTCTCAGCCAGCTCAGACTCCCCGGCCGCCTCCGAGTTGGGCCGGGGCACGCGGTGCCAGAAGCAAAGGGCAGCACGGTGTCGTAGTTTGGGGCGGTCTGCGCAGTGCCATCCGAGAATGCAGAGCGCATCTTTTCTTGCGCCATGTGAATCCACGCTGTGTTGCCTCTCCGAGCTCGGCGTCGCGGCCGCCACGCCCCTTTGCAGATCGACATGACTACCACCGAGGCGGAGACGGAGGAGAAGGACTCGGCGTGGTTAGGCTTAAGTCGGGCATGTCCTTCTGCAGGATGAGGATTCCAAAATAATAAGAAATAGTCAGGAGATTTTGTTTCGACTAATTATGTGTTCACTAGTTTTGCGCATTTTGGATTGTCACTTTTCTTACAGAATCTGCTTGTAGGAGCACATGCCCGACCTAAGGCTGGGAAGGACGGACCACCGAGTCCCTGGCTCGTCGTGTCGGCGTGGATGAGGTTGGCCCGGCCTTCTCGATCGCTCGTGGGCAAGCCTCCTTCTATTGTACATCCCTCGTGCCGCACCAGCGTGTCTCGAAATCGGTTCCTGGACTCGTTCTGGGGCGCGTTCTGCCGATCATTGTCTCATCTCTCGCCTCTTCTCTCCAACAAGAACAAGCGTGAGGAGCATTATTATTATCCTCCGCCACCTCTTCTTCTCCTCGAGTGGACCGTGCTCCCTTCCCACACCTTCTCTCGTCCCGACTCGGTCTGTCTAGATAATCTCGTACCGGAGGAGGAGCAGGAGCAGGAGCAGAAGAAAGAGGAGGACTGGAAGGAGGAAGAGGAGGAAGAGAAGGAGGGGGAGGAGGAGGAGGAGGAGGAGGAGGAGGAGGAGGAGGAGGAGGAGGAGGAGGAGGAGGAGGAGGAGGAGGAGGAGGAGGAGGAGGAGCAGGACGAGGAGGAGGATGAGGCAGCGCGCATGTTTCTGCACATTTCGTGGTTGGCGGCTTTGTGGAAGTCGGGGGAGCCGTCGGGTCCCGGGAAGCTTCCAGAGGTTTCCGGAGGCCCCCGGGAGGCCGGCGGCGACGAGTGTTTGGTTGATTAGTCCGCCCCCGTTCACCTCGCAAGCACGGTGCGCTGCTCTCCTGCGTGCGCCGTATGTGAAGGGAGGAAAAGCCACTGGGACCCGACAGCTGACGTTTACTAAACGGCCTTGGCCTTTTCTACACAGCCCTGCCCTATTCGATTCCTTCTCTGGGTGCGTTTACTAAACGGCTTCGCTTGTCGGGGTGAGTATTATGGGGATGGATGTTCTGCCCTCTAGTATGGTTGTCAACGCGACGTCGTGCTCGCAGGCCTCGGCAATGCACGCAGGGGCGCTCCGCTGCTCACGGCGGCCTCCCGCCGTGGTGTGATCGGGGGGACACCCCCCTTCCCTGACGACGCCCGTATCGCGAATGATAAGCAGACAGGTTCCGAAAGCGGGGAGTTTTTCAGCATCGAAGAACAACAAAGGACATAAACATAGTTTCTCGGAGGTCCGCGCGAATGTCTTGGATCGGAACTGGGCCCCCCTGTCGGCGCCTCCGGCGTTTCCCTTGGTGCGCTCCGCGCGCCAGGGAGGGGGTCAGCGCCGATCAAGAAAATTGTGCAGACTTCCGACTCTCCATGTTTATGCAGATGTGTTTTTCTTTTCCATTCGAAGAAGGCTGGGAGCTTCTCAGCAGGCAGCGGCCTTCTCATTTCGGAAGGGCCCCCTCTGGGTCTGAGATGCCTTCTCAGAAGCTCCCGGGGCCCTTTCGATGGGGCCCCCGCCTCGTCAAAAGTCCCCCCGCCTTCTTGGAACGCCGCGCCCCCCCCGCCCCTCCTCTCGCGCCACCCCTCGTCGGCGCGCCGCCAGGGCGGGCTCGGGAAGCGGACAGGCCCAGAAGGGGAACCTCGGGGCAGAGGGGGGCGCGAGGGCGCGAAGAGAAGCGCGCCCCCCTCGCCCAAGGGCGTGGGCCCAGGCGACGCGGGCGCGGCCCGCGGCGCGAGGACGCCCAGGCGGACTACGAGGCGCTGATGGCGGACGCGGGCACCAAGCGCGCGGCGGATTCCAAGGCCTCTTCTCTCGAAGAGTAAGAAGAAGAGTCACTGCATGATCGTCAGCAGTCGGAGCTCTTGGCGGATCCTTCGGACCTGCGCTGGACCCCCCCTGGCGGCGCCTCGGGCGTCGCTCCTGGCACGCTCCGCGGGCCACGGAGGGGGGTCCAGCGCGGATCCGAGAACTCCGCGCGGAGCTCCGAACATGCACGCATGTGTAGGCTTCTCCTCTCCACTCTCTCGGGGTGCGATCTGTGGGGGGTGCCCGCCGCTTTCTCTGTCAGTGCGGGCGGGCGTGTTCTGTTATGCTGCCCGCCCCCTCCCTCCTCCGACCTGCCTCTCAGGCCTGCCCCGCTGGAGGCGGGTCGGCCCTCCGATCCAGGTCCCAGGCCCTCACCTTGCTCCTGACCGGGGAGGACCATCTAGACCTCTTCGCCCCCGTGCACGCGAGAAGCCTCGAGCCTGGACGGCGCATCGGCAGAACACTACATAGCATAGAGGGCCAAGACGAACTCACGCAGAAACCGGGCCCATGCAGGGTGCAAGTACGCCGGAACGCAGCCATTGCAGACTGCAGTATATCAGGGAGTGAGGCAGGAGGGGAAGGAGGGGGAGGAGGGGAGGAAGAGGGAGGGGAGGCATCGGCCCCGTTACAACATTCAAGAGACTGCACGAGGGCAGCGTTCCATTCCGCAGCCGACGATTGCAGCAGCGACTGAAATCTTCCGGGCCATCGTGCGGTACGTTCAGGGCGCGTGCGCGCATGTAATTTCCCCTCTGGGATTCGGGCCGTCCTCGTCCGCGAAGAATATTGCACTTCCAGGAGACGAGGCCGTGAAAGAGACCCCCTCGCGCTGCGAGGAAATCGCGACGGGAGAAGTTTGCCAATTCTCGGCCTCCCGGGGGCGCGCCGAGGGGGGAAGTGAGATGGGGGCCGGCTCTTCTCTGTATTCTATGGAGTGCGCATGGCGCTGAGCGAGGCTTCAATGTTCCAAGTCCGCCTCAGGCGGCCTTGCGTGCTACAGGCGCGCCTGCCTTCCTTGCAGGGACGCTGGGCCTCCCGGCAATGGCGGATCGTTCCTTCGTCCGTTCATCGCTCATGCACTCTTCCCCTGAGCCTTGAGCGGCACCGCTTTCTCCCACGCGGAGAATACCCCCGCTGGGGGCACCTCGGCGCTCGCCCTCCCAGCTGCCGTCGTCCTCTTGGTGGAGCCCACGTCGAGCACCGGCCACCATGCAGCAAGCGCAAACCCTGCAGGGGCGGGCGGTCCTTCATGGGCTCCTCGGTCGGGGCCCTGGCCATTTAGGTACTTGTTCTTTCCGTCGGGCGAGCCCTGACAACGGCCTGGTCGTGCTGGCAGACCCTGGTTGGCGGGCCTGACTGGCGAGTCGGGCGGGCGCAGCCTGTCGCGGGCGTGCGGGACAGTAAGCAAAAGGGGCGGCGTGTCAAACAAGCGAGGGGGCAAACGGCAAACACACACTCGCTCGCGTGGGGAACGTCACGGCGGGCGTTTTTTGTAGATTTTCGGCTTGGCCTCTACCGTGCCTGGGTCCGTCAAAACCTCCAGATGAGAAAGCCGCCCAGGGGAAAAGATCCAGTCTTCCAGGGGACCACGTGGTGAAACAATCACGACGTCGGAGGTTTTGATCCTGATGGGTTCCACGTCGAGCACCAGTCACCATGCAGCAAACGGATTCAGAGAGACGATCGCGGCCTCCCTGGGTCCTTCCCAGACCTTGGGGCCGTCAGAAGACGGCTCGCGATGAGAAGAGGGTCTCGAGGGAAAGCCCGCGGGCTTCAGGACTCGTTTCTTTCAGGCCTGTCAGGAGCCCAGTTGTCCTTCGTCCCACTGTCCTGCTGGCTGCTCCTGCCAGGCCTGGCTGAAGAGTCGGCGCCGTGAAGATTGGCCGCAGGGGGGGCGCTCAGAGTCTGCCCTTGAGCTGCCGTCCACCGACGGTCCGCGTCGAGCGGGAGGTTGAAGTAAGCACTACTATCGAAGACGCCTACGGCGAATCACCGCCTCCCCCTGCCCCTTTGGAAGCGCCTATGTGGCCTACAGCTTGGCTAGAGCTTGGCCAAGCTATCGGGCCAGTTGTTGCCCGAGTCGGTTTGGAAAGCCTTCGGGGAACGCGTGGTGGAGCAAGAGGAGGAGGATCAGGAGAGGGTGGAGGATGATGATGATGATGATGATGATGATGATGATGATGATGATGATGATGATGATGATGATGATGGTGATGCTGATGCTGATGCTGATGATGATGATGATGATGATGATGATGATGCTGATGCTGATGATGATGATGATGATGATGATGATGCTGATGATGATGATGATGATGATGATGATGTTGATGTTGATGATGATGATGATGATGATGATGATGATGATGATGATGATGATGATGATGATGATGCTGATGCTGATGCTGATGATGATGATGATGATGATGATGATGCTGATGATGATGATGATGATGATGATGATGATGATGATGATGATGATGATGATGATGATGATGATGATGATGATGATGATGATGATTTGGTGGAGGATGAGGATGGGGATGATGATGAGGATGATGGGGAAGGAGGAGGAGGAGGAGTAGGAGGAGGAGACTTCTTGGAAACCGTCTTGCGAGGCCTCTTGGGAGGCCTCTGCGGAGCTTCCTGGGAGCGTTCTGGGAGCCTCTTGGCAGCCTCCCTGGGCCTGTTAGGGGCTTCTTGGGGGCCTTTGGGGGCTTCTCGGGGGCCTCTTTGGCCGTCTTAGGGCGTTCCCGACCCGTCTGGCACCGTCGGAAGCCGTCTTGGGGGCCTCTCTGAACCGACTTGGGGGTCTCTTGTGGCGCTTCATGGCCGTCTTGGGGAGTATCTTATCTTGGACGTCTTGGAGGTTGCCGTCTTGGGAGCCTATTGGGCCGTCATGCGGCTGTCTTGGAGGCCTCTTGGGTGATCTTGGGGCGACCTTGGGGGCCTCTTGGGCCGTCTCGGGCCGTGGGAATTCCGACAAGGCGCAAATGCCAAAATCTGTTTGACACCAAGGACAATCATTCATTTTCGCTTCTTCGGGCCCTCGTGTAGGGTGTAGGACTCTTGGGCCGTCTTGGAGGCCTCTTGGGGCCATCTTAGCTGTCTTGGAGGCCATCTCGGCCGTCTTGGAGGCCATCTTGGGTCTTCTTAGAGCCATGTTGAGGCCATCTTAGGCCATCTTGGGTGCATCTTGGGCCGTCTTAGCCGTCTTGAAGGCCATCTTGGTCGTCTTGGAGGCCTGTTGGGGCCCTCTGGGGGCCGTCTTGGGGGCCCCTTGGGCCGTCATGGGGCCATATTGGAGGTCTCGTGGGCGATATTGGGGCGATCTTGGAGGCCTCTTGGGCCGCCTTGAGCCGTCGGAGCGAAGCGAAGCGCGCGGCGGACGCCACGAGAGGGGGGGACCCCGCCATCGTGGCGGCGGCGCACGCCCAGCGACTCTCGCTACTCCTCCAGAAGGAGAACGCGCGGGCCGTGCTCCGCAGGCTGCAGGGCCCCGGCAGGGCGCCTGCGGCCAGACTGGCAGCGGCCACGGCGGCTAGAGCGGCCGACGCTGTCTGAGCCGACCGCAACCCCAACGCCCCGCCCCAGCAACCCCTTCCCCTTGCCCCTGACCACGACCTCGACCACCCCCGACCGCGACCACGACCAGGACCACAACCGACGACCCCCCGGGCCCGGCGACCGCCGCCGCCCCCCGCCCGCCCCCAACGTGCGCGCTTGCCTGCTGCTGCCTTTGCCGCCCCCCCCCCATCTTGCAGGTTGGCGCCTCCTCGCCGTGTTTTTCCTCTCCCCCCTCGTCCCTCGCCCCTCCTCCCCCTCTCCTTGCCTCCCTCCCTCTCCGGGCAGCACAGCCTGCCCCGAGCCGGCGTTGCGAAGCAGCGTCTTGCTTGTCCCGCAAGAGCGTACGGCATGCTTTTGGCGTGTCGGGGCCGCCTCGTTTGGAGGGGGCTGTGGAGCGCACGTATTATTGGGCATTGCTACGCTCGCTGGGCTCGGGCCCTCTTGGGCCGATGGGCCGTGTTGCAGCCAGCTTGAGCATACTGGAGCACTCTTGGGCCTTTTTCGGAGGCATCTTCAGCCGTCTTTGGCGCGTTAGGGGCCATGTTTCGGCAGGATGTACTGCCAGAGGACACGCGCGACACGCACGTGGGTGAGCCGTCGGAGTGCAGAAAAAACGCAATTCCCAGAATCCCTCACAAACCTAAGGAACATCCATGAGTTCGATCTCTTCGGGCCCTCCTGGATAACCTCTTCAGGTCCTCCTGGATGACCTCCGGCGCGAGTCGTGACGTGGCCAGGGGGTGGTGGGTGGGTGGGGCGGAGCGAGGCCGCTCGCTGGCGCTGTAGCGGATGACAAAAACAATCGTTTCCTGCAGTGGACGCCCATGCCAGGAAACACCCTGCCTGCCTCCAGGGTCCCCTGGGTTTCCTGGGTTTCGATGGTCCTGCTACGAAAAGCGTGGCGTCCCCACGCCAAAAGCCACTCGGCGCCCTGGGGTCTCGGGACTGGGTCCCTTGTGGACGGTGTCTTGTGGTCGGGCTCCCAGTTTGTATGCTGGTGTGACTCGTCCTCGTGGCTGCCTGCCGTTGTGCCCGCGTGTTGCCCTGGCCGTTCAGACGGGCGCCGCCCGCCCAGGCCCATAGGCGGGCACGAAGGGGATGGCCGCCGCGGCTGGGGCGCTGCCAAAGAGGTGATCCTGGCAGTGCTCGTGACGACTCCTCCGACTCGATTCGGCCGGGCTTGTTCGATTCGATTCCGATGCGACTTCGGATGCCGATGTGGATATTCACCGCCCACCAAACCACCCCAATCCAGCCCGAAAGCCCCGATTTGCCATCCATTTCCAGTGTGTGTGTGGGGGGGGGTCGGGGAACATGGAAACAAAAAAGACATGAAGCCCGTCCCCCCCCCCCCCGCAACCCGAAATTCGGGTCTTCGGATTGGGTTCGGGTGGTTGCGTAGGGAGTCAGGATTTCGGTTTCCCAACGCAGGCCTCAGCCGCCTGCCGATCTCTGCCGATTCGGCTTCTCACGACTAGGCCGCCGAGTTCCGCCCACACCCGATTTCCTTCGACTGCCGATCCGACTTGCATCGGCTCGGTGCTGGGCTCTCTCTTGCCTGGCCCAAGGCGTCCCTGGGACCCTGGGATTGGAGGCCGCTCTTGTCAGGGTCCAGCGATGACCTGGGCTATCGGGCCCGCCTGCCCACCCGCCCCTCCCACCGAGTAGCCTGACCTCGTCGGTTGCGCAGGTCCGAAGGGGGCACGCCATGTTTGTGCGCGCCGGCAGGGGTGTCTCCGCCTACGGCGAACAGCTGAGGTTATCGGCCGTCACGTCCCCCATCCCCCCCCCGCCGGATAACCCTGGCTGTAGCCGAATCGCAAGAAGCGATCGCTTACAAGGGAGGCCCACGCGGCCTCCCGAGCCCCTCGCGCACGAGGCCCAGAGGTTCCCCGTGGCTTCGAGAAGTGGGCAGAAGGACGGGGTCTGGTCGGACGGGGCGAGGACGAGGATAACTCCGTTCCAGAGCGTGCCGGAACGCTCTCAGGGCGCTCCGGAACGTTCTGTGGAAGCCACGGCGCCCGAGACATGCTCCAGAACCGCCCGATCTCAGAGATGCTCGATTTATCCCCATCCGATCTCATCCTCGTCCTGGCTTCGTCCTGCCAGGGGAGGGGCCGCAGGTCGAGGATATGCCTCCTCGGCAGCCCTCCCGAAAGCGGCTAGCAGGGGCGCCCCCTCGCGGGGGGGAGGCGCTCGGAATCGGGCTCGTGGGTCCTCTGCAGAGGGGGTCTCAAAATGTACCCGCCGGTCGTGGAAAGTTGGTATTTCTGGATTTCCAGATCCTATCGGCGGCGAGCGAGAGGGGGGCGTGAGAAGCAGGATTTCTGCTGCTGGCCATGATCTGTGAAAATGTATCCCGCTGTTGCTTCTTACACAGCTTTTGGTTCGCATTCGCCAGCAGAACAGCATGCACGCGATGGGAGTGAGGAGGAGGATGCCTTCTCAGGAGGCTCGGAAGTCCCGTGGCCTTCGGAGAGGTTTTCTAAACGTTCACCGAAGACACCAAACAACAACCTCTCAGAAGGCCTCGGGCCTTCGGATAATCCCAGTCGCCTGCTGAGAAGGCCTTCCCATTCTCACTTCCCCCCTTGCTTGCAAGCGACTTTTGACGCCTTTCTACGTTATTCGTCGAGTGCTTTTTCCTTTCCTCTTCAGCTAGGGGGCGGGCGGAAACCCAATCTACTTCCAACGCCTTCCGACTTCCTGTTTCTACCCACCTTTTCCAACCGACGGGTACGCAACAGTTCGCGCAATTGTTCCTGCGGGATACGCACGCCGTGCAATTTCAACACGTGGCTACCACGCGCCGTGCGCCACAGGGTGAGCTTTTTCTCGGAACCTGGAGCGTATACATTACCAGAGGCGGGCTGTTGATCAATCCCGGGACTTTTTGAGGGTCGGGGGACGGTGTACAGTTCCGCCCGCTCCCTCTCTCCGATTTCGATCGGCTCCGCCACCCCTGCCTGACCAAACATTTTTTGGTTCCCCGCTTTCCCGGGGAAACAACACAACATGTAAACACCATGATCCCGTATACCGCTTTCTGTGTGAGTTCCAGTGCGGGGCCGGAAAAAGTGTTGGTGTATAGAGTTCGGTTCCTTCAATGTTTTTTTTTCGACCCCATCCTGAAAGATCCTTCTACCCGGAACCGAGGCGCTCACGGAGAAGTCGATGGCCAAGGCTCACGGCGAGGAGGCCCGCCGGGAGGAGGTCCGACGGAGGTCTCTCGCCAGTCTCCGGCCTCCACGGGGGCTGGTTTTTTGTTTGGGCCCCCGGGGCGGGCGAGAGGGGCGGGCAGACCAGGGGCGGGCGTTGCACATATTCACCCCGGGAGCCTGGTCGAAGACAGGGGCCTCTAGGCCTCCCAGATGGGGTTCTAGTAGATGGTGTGGGCACGTCACACTGTCCACTGCAAAACCATAGAAACCCAAGAAACCCAGGGCACCCTGTAGTCAAGCAGCGTGTTTCTTGGCATGGGTCTCCACTGCAGGCCTCATGGATGGGGTCCGAGTAGATGGGGTCGGAGGATCGCACCGCATCGCGGATGCATCGGCGATGCGGCTCGATGTGGAGCCCGATTTTCTTCTCGCTTGCGTCGCCGATGTATCGCCGACGACGCTGATGCATCGCCGATGCATCGGCGATGCGGTGCAATCCTCCGACTCCATCTACTCGGACCCCATCTAGGAGGCCTCTATGGATACAGTCAACCCGCATAGTGAGGATGAACAAGTTTGCAAGGTTGTCCGTGCATCCTGATCGTGCGTCCTTACTACACGGGTTGATTGTATACGTATTGTTCTCCCTTGGGGTATTGCCAACCCGCATAACAAGGATGAGTGGTTTTCCAAGATTGCCTTTGATTCCCATGCGGCCCATCCTTGGCCTTGGCCGCATTCGCTGGCTGAGCCCCGCTCGCCAAGTGTCGACATGACCCTCTATGGCCTTTGCATCCTTATCGTGCGTCCTTATGCTACGGGTTGACTGTGCATGTATTGTTCTTCACCTTGGCTATTCGCCCCCACTTTCGCACCCGAGTCAGACGGCGATGGGGCCGAGAGTTCCGGGGGAGCACTCAGAGTGAGTGTCGGACGTCTGTGTTTCTGAGGTTGAGGTCCTCCTCGGCCTCGGCCGGTCCGTCGGTCCGTGAGAGTGGTCCAGTTGAGTGTAGCCCAGACGATGCAGAGGCGGCGGGGAGAAAGGTGGGGCAGTACATCTCATCCTCCCCCTCCTCTTGGGGTCCTCCTCCTCGTCCTGCTCCTCCTCTTTCCTCGTGGGGGAGGAGGAGGAGCATGGGTGATACTGATGGTGATGATGCGGAGTAGGAGGCTAAGATCTTCGGCTGGTGGTGGGGCATTGGGTGTCTGCGGTGGTGGCGCGAGTTTACAGTGAGACATCACACGCAAACTTTCAGGTCCCAGACGTCCAGCCTCTTGAACAGGAGAGGTCAAGACGGAGGCTTTTCGAAGTTTTCGGCGCCTGGCTACCGTTTTCGGGCCACGGGGCATCAACGCAACGATCCTGGTTGCAGAACGGGTCGGAGAAGGACGGGGGTCGTGGGGGGATCTCATGGCTGGGGCGACGAGGAGACGAGAGAAGGGACAGTGCAAAGGCCCAGACAGACAAACCTACAAGCAACTGCCAAGCACGCGGAAATGGCGCCACACGCATTTAGAGCTGCACTGCAAGTTGCCGAACGCGAGCACATGTAGCCTGCAGCTGGGGCGGCGACTGGGGGCGACCCCGGGCGCCCCAAAGCTTCACAGAAGCTGAGCAGGCCGACGCGAGCCAAGGCGTGACATATCTCTTGCCGTCAGGTTCGGGAAAGAAGCCGTGGCCTCGGAACGGCGATAGGACCATTCTGCCCACGAGTCCTGCTTGCTTGGTACTGCGCACTGGGTCGAACACCACTTGCAAACGGAGCCCTTGCCCACTTTGCAGAGGCGGTCGCCCCGCCAGCGTCCGTCGTGGGTGCATCCCGCGTAGTTTGCGCATTGCGGCTTTTCACACAGCTTGCAGACCGTGCAGTGAGAACGACCGTTGTTACTGCGCACGACTGGCCAGACCTGTTCTTTACAGCTCCGGCACGTAGGAGGGCGCGCAGAGGAAAGGCCGTCATGACAAGCCTTACCCTCCTGGTGAGGCTCCTTGCCCTGCTGCGAGCTCGAGGGGATGGCGAGAGGCGGGCGATCCTCTGGCAGCAGTGCGCCATATTGGAGCGCCTGCTCGGAAGATAACGCCGCGGCGCGAGCTTGCAAGTAGTCGTTGATATCGCCGTCGGGACGTGGAGTGAGGAGCGCGCGCCAATTGTCGGAGTGACTCTTCGGTAGCCAAAGCCCGTCCGCTTCGTCCGAACCACGCGTTGGCCTGGGCGAAATGTGAACGGACGAGAAGCTGTCGCCTTCAGGCCTGCCCCCAATGAAGGGAGGGCAGATTGTGCCCTGCGCTGAGAGAGACCTATGTTATGTCGCAGATGGGCCTGCGTGGTGAACGGGAGTGCGACCGGGGGCGACCCATGGGGACAGGCGCGGGGACTTTCCCAGTGCGACGCTTGCTGGGGGGTCCCGACTGAGTTGCGAGCAGCGTGCACTCGCCTATTGACTCGGAGGTGGATAGACCTCCTACCCTGACACGTCGATTAAGGAATTGGCCGTTTTCGGTTCGCGAGAGGGCGTCGCGGCCGTCATTTTTGCATGTTCAGGTCCGTCGGGTTCGGTCCCAGGCCGTTTTCACCAAGGGGAGGTTCACTAAAGGGAGGTTTGTCCACCGCCGCTTGCCGTCATTTCTGCCTGAGTTCCCAGAGTGCGCGGCTCCAGGGACGGATGCAGACTCGCCACTTTTACCAGGCCTCCTGGATGGGGTCGGAGCAGATGGGGTCGGAGGATCGCGCCGCATCACCGATGCATCGGCGATGCGGCTCGATGCGGAGCCCGTTTTTCTCCACGCCGGCGTCGCCGATGCACCGCCGACGTCGCCGATGCATCGGCGATGCGGCGGGATCCTCCGACCCCATCTGCTCCGACCCCATCCAGGAGGCCTCTGTTTTACCGATCAGCCCGAGGCGGCTGGTTCGTCGAGAGGGGGCGCTCCAGAGGAGCCGGAGGCAGACCGCGCGGCGGAGGTGATGGCGCCGGCGTGGCTCAAGCCCGCCAGAACCAGGACCCGCACCAGAAAGGACACGAACGGGCGCGAGGGGGTGTGGACGAAGCGCAAGAACCGTTGTCCGACGATGGGGTCTATACACCACCACCGTGCCAGGCCAGGGCCGTCATGGGCCCTAATTAGGATGGTGTATAGACCCTCATGGCCTCGGCCAGGAGTGCGATACACCATGCCAGAGCCAGGATGGCCCTCGCTTGGCACGGTGGTGGTGTATAGATGTCGTTTGCGTACGTTGGCCCGCCGTGCGGGCGCGAGCGGGTGTGGAAGAAACTCCAGAATCGCTGGTCCGCCTTGCGCTGCCCCCAGAAGGACGGGAGGAGGCGTTGAGGGCCGTGTCCGCCGCGGTGGCGGTGGCGGCGGCTGGGGGAGCGCGCCACTGGGCCGCCAGGAAGCGTGACGCGGTCGCCCGGTTTCTGCAGGCTTCGCGCGTCGGCCCGAGCCGGCGGCATCACGGCTGCGGTCACGGCTCGGGCTTGGGAGAGGGAGCGAGGAGGAAGGAGCAAGGAGGAAGGGAGACGAGGGAGGAGGATGAGGAGAAAATGGAGGAGTCAGAAAGGAGGAATAGGAGCAGGAGGAGGAGGAGGAGGCGAAGGAGGAGGAGGAGGAAGAAGAGGAGGAGGCGGATGGCGGGGGCATGGAGGGGGAGGGAGCAGGGAGGAGGGAGCAAGGAGGAGGGGGGAGGGAGGAGGAATTGGAGGAGGAGGAGGAGGAGGAGGTTCCTGGAGGCCTTCAGGGGGCTTCTGGAGACGTCCGGACAGCGGCCAGAAACGTTCAAAACTGTCGGAGACTTCGACCTTCGAAATCCCCTCGATGGAGGAGGACAATGAGAAACTGCCGGAGGAGGAGGAACATGCAGCAGCAGCAGTATGAGATGAGAAGGATGAGCAGGAGGATGAGGAGGAATTTGAATCTAGCCCAGTGGCTGAGACGAAGCGCCCACAACGGTCGTCAACTCGGCCCAGACACTTTAGACGTCAATTCGGTCCCAAGACTACGTTCGCTAAGGCGGAAGCAAGTGCCAATTCAGCTCCACTTCGTTCGTCAAGACGAGAGGAGCCATCAATTCGGCCCCGACACTTCCTTCGTCAAGACCGAAGTCGTTTCAACCATCAGCTCGGCCCCGACGCTTTCTTCGTCAAGACCGAGGGTGCGGCGGGGCGGCCGTTAAGGGGGTTGGTCAATTCGGCGGGAGGCCGTCGCGGGGGTTCGTCACCCCAGAGGGAGGCCGTCAAGGGGGCTCGTCAAGGGGGTTCGCCAACTTGGGGGGAGGCCGTCAAGGGCGTTCGCTAACTCGGAAAGAGGTTGTTAAGGGGGCTCGTCTGGTCGGAAGGAGGCCAGCAAGGGGGCTCGTCAACTCGGAGAGTTCACGGCCAAACCCCTTCCACTAAGACAGAATTGACGGCCACATCTCTCATAAGATGGAGTTGACGGCTCAAGCGCCGGACAGAGTATACATGGTCATCCGTCGTGACGTCCAGGGCCTCCTCCAGACCTGCCGCCCGCGACAGACTCAAGGAGGAAGAGGAGGAGGAGGAAGAGGAGGAGGAGCTTCCTCCTCTTTGATCCTCCCCCTCGTCCTCGTCCTCCTCCTCGTCCTCTTCCTCCCCCACTCATCCTCCTCGTCCTCATCATTATCTCTCCTTTGAGCCGGGCCGACCCCGCAGCAAGGGGATGTATGGTATACCGATACCCCCTGATGCCCCCCCTGGTGCCCGCGCCCCGCAGTCGCTGCAGAGCGAGGAGGAGAACAAGAAGGATTTGACCGTTCAGCTGATGGAGACGACGCAGGCCCACGCGCCGAATTTGAATGTTTTCGCAGGGACTTCGTTGGGTCTTGGAAGTTTTCCGGCCTCGGGACGCCTTCCAGTGGCTGCGCCTCGCCGAGAGCGTTTCGGGGTGTGCCTGAATCGTCCCGAGAGGCCGCCAGAGGGCCGAGGCATGGCCCGAAGGCCAGACCTGCTCTCGTCGTGACAGAAGCAGCGGCGCTTGTCTTGTTTCCAATTGTCTGCCACTCTGGGCCCTCACCACGCCCCAGGACATCAAATACACACCCGGGGTGAGGCAGCTGGTCCCTGGGAAGGGGTCCAGACCTCTGGGATAGGGGGCGGCCAAGGGGGGGAGACGACGAGCTAGGGAGGGGTAGATCTCATATCGTGGGCGGGGCCATGATATCTCCTCGGAGTTCATGGTCCCCTCTCTTTTATTCGACACACTCCAGGCCCCCCCCCACCCCACTCGTCCGCACATAACTCGGGCCATCATCTGCTAACTCTTCTCATGGGCGCCCCCTTCCTTGCATGCCCCCGACTGGGAGTCCACGTGTCCAATAACTCTAGACGCCAGAGGCCTTGGTTCTCCGAGCCCGGGCTCTCTCGGCGGGCCCGTCCGCGATCTGCGGGGCCCACGTCGATGAGATTGACCTGATTCGACATCAATTCTAGTCCAATTTGATCCGATTCCGATAGCCGCCGCAGAGCACGCGGGTCCTGAGGGAACCGGGCCCACTGTTTTGTCCGCCGTCTCAAGCCCCAGGATTGTCAGAAGACGACTCGGGACGAGCAGTTGGTCCTGGGATGGCCCGGGTCTCTTGGACCCGCTTCCCTCGGGACTCAGGATCCATTCGGGATCTTTTCCGTGCCGATGCGGTCCCGACGTACATTGCATTCCGATCAGATCGGGTTTCCGTCCCCCTCCTCGTCCTCCTCCTCCTCCTCGTCTTCCTCTTCCTTCTCCTCCTCCCCCTCCGCCTCCTCCTTCTCCTCCTCCTCCTCCTCCGATTCGATGCCGTCTGATCCTGCCCTCCTCCATGTTCTCCACATGGATTTTTTCTCGGGCAGGCAGGAGCGGGAGCAGGGGGAGGGGGGTGGGAAGGACATGAAATAAATGTGTGCCGAAATGAAGATTTCAGACATGTAGAGCGCCTCTAGGAGTCCAGTGAGTACGACATGTGTGAAGGGTGTGCCGGATTGAAGTTCTTAGGGGAATTCATGGGTGGATGCCTTCATCGGGCGAGCGTAATGTGCGAAGCCGCTCCCAGTATGATTTGTTCACGCATGCCTTCTCCATGCTCCTCTCCAAACTTCTTGGGAACATGTCGGCGTTTAACAACGGTGACCAGCACGTGGCCCGCATAATGTTACCCAACACCCCTTAGTTTGGCTTCGGAACGATAGCGTGCAATGTGGCGCCGCCGACCCGCTTGGGGATGGCGCGTGGGGGGGTCGCCTCACAGGGGCTGCGTGCTTTCGGAAGGTGGAAGCCGTGCGCGACCTGACCGTTGGAATCCACTGCCCCTCTGTGCTGAGGCAGTTGTGTATGAGGGGGTACAGAGGATAGGCTGTTTACACAGTTTGGAGGAAGTAGTGAATTCAATATGGGTCGGGCTTGAAGTTTCTCGAAGAGAGCGCGCGCACCCGAATCGCAAAAATACGGCTATATGCGGACCGAGGACAGTTTGCTTCCCGTCGTCGTCCTCGCCCTTGCTCCATGCCCCTCGTTTCTTCCCCCCCTGGACGGTGTCGAAAGCGTCCGCGACTCGGGCGGGGGAGCGCCTTTTTCCGCCTCCCTCATTATTCCTTGTTCCTCCTTGCATCCCTGCTCCTCCGTCCATCGTCCTACCTCGTCTTCCCGAATTGTTCGAAGAAGGGAAGTGCAGTCCCTGGTGCCCCGTGCCCGTATCAGCGGTATACCGCAACCAAACAGAGGGGATTGCCAATGCGAGCGTTCGGGGCGCACTCCAGACGCGGGCGGCACGGCCGCCGAACACAGCGGCACCGCTAATATGTAAATGTATAGGTTCCTGCGGCAAGGTCGGCCCCCTTGCCAGCACAGCACTCTGTGTGGAAGCGCGTGGAGCTCTGATTGTTAACAGGTCTGTGACATGTGACACCTCTCGTGTTCTCGGATTGCTGCGCGGCCTTTTGCGGGGTCCTGCGGGGCCTTTTTCGTGACCTTTTCGGGCCGGTTTGGTGCTGCATTTCACCGTGGCCGCCTTGGGCCGGTGAAGCGTATGTTTGCAGCCACCTCGGGGGCGCTCTGGGCCGAGGCAATGTGTATTTGCATCCCCCTACGTGGGCATGTCGGCCTCGGTTCTGGTTCGGCAACACCGGGGCGCCCTGGAGGTGGCGAATTTTTTCTCCGAGATACTGGATCAAAGTGAGGTATGTGTACACAGCTTGTTTTTTTCAATTGTGTGTCTTCGTGCGTGAGGCCACTGTTTACACAGATCGTGGTGTGATCTGCGCACGAAGATCTTGTTCCCATCTGTGTAGTTGGAGTGTGCCCCTCGCGGTTGGTGTTGACTGCGTGGGAACTTTCACGTTCCTCTTTCGGGTGGTCCAGGGGGGGCGTCGTACGTTGTCAAAGTGCACAGCTCGTGTCTCCAACTGTGCATGCGTTGCGCGCCGTTCGCTCGAGTGGTCAGTGGGTGGGAGTTGTCGCGGATATCCCGGCTGTTCCAGGGGGGGGCCGAGGTCTGGGAGTGCAAAGGCGCGGGGTGCTATGGGAGGGAAACAGCTCGATCGGAGGAGTGGCGAAGTGGACCGGGATGGAAAGGACAGGACGATAGGGGAGGGAATTGTCCCAGGACGAGCTGCGGCATCGGTGTCAGCATCACGAGGACGAGGAAGGCGGGGGGACAGAAAAAGGGGGGATGATTTTCACTAGGGCGTAGAGGACGGGAGGAAGGCGCGCATGTGGACGATGGGGGAATCATCCGGCGGAGGAAGACGACGAGGAACGGCATGAATTGGCATATGGGGGGGGAGAATATGGCTGAGGGGTACGATGAGGACTGGGGGTGGTCGAAGAGACTTGAGGAGGATGAAACGAAAACAAAGGAAATCGGGACGAGGCGGGGGACGAAGCATGAGCATCAGGCGGGCGCCAGCTAACGCTTAGCTGACCAGTGTTTTGCGCGTCCGTGCACCCCCAAAAACAAAAACGCAGCGCTCGGCTGCAGAACTTCATGATTTGGGTCGTCGTATGCGGCGTGTTTCCAGGCCGAAAGCTCGAGCCCACGACGCTCTTTGGCGCCGCGTTGATGCCGCTCCGCTTTGCCAGGCCGCATATGCACATATAGGCACAAATGGTGTTTTCAACGTGTGTTCCAAGAACATCCTTTATAGTAACAGACCCACGTTGGAATCCAGCTCGACCAACCCCACCGTGTTTGTCATGCGCCGCCGCCACACTTGTTGCTCGAGCGCATAAGCTTCGATACATTAGGTGCAAAACGTCATGACCGCGAACAGATGCTGGGAGACGTGGTGGAAAAAAACAAAAAAAAAACGAATGACAATAATCCGAAAACGTAGCGTACAACGGGGTCCAACACCGTCCCTGGACGGCCCGGCGACCTCCAACAACCTGCCACTTGGGCGTCGCGTGATAAAGGGGGGGCGCGAAGTGCAGGGGGCAGCGAGGGAAACGGGCCCTTAAAGCCCCTAAAGGGCACCGAGTGCACCTTTCTTCACCCCCGGTAAGCGACGCCCCAGCTGGGAGGGCCTCAGGCGGCCCCGAAAACCGCCAGAACGGGCGCGCAAAAAGGTATCGAAAACGGCGGACAAAACGAACAAAAGGAAACCAGGCAGCTCACAGGCAGTCGAACGAGCCATGGGCATACCCCACCAGACAGCTAACGCGCATTCAGCAGGGCGTTCCCTATCTGACATTTTGCGTAACATTCGGAAGAAGCGTCAGTCCTCCTTTCCCTCTCTGCTTCTTGCCGCTTGCCTCCCCATCCGTAGCCATTTGAACCCGACGACCTTCATTTTTGGGCACGGTCCGTCACGATGTAGCCGCATCTGCGGACGCCTCGGGGCAAGAGCGGCGATGCCTTGGCGGCGCTGCAGCAGGCGGCTCGCGGTAGCAAGCGGCGGAGGCGAGAAACTCAAGAGTTGCCAGCAGAGCCGCCCCCTGCGCCCCCGCGGGTCGGACTCTGGAACAAAAAATTCGGGCAAAGCTTTGCGCCCCAAGGTCCGTTTGGCGATGGGGGCCGTGGCCCAGGCAATCGGGCATGCGCTCGCGCAGCGCATTCTCGGAGTGCGCGCCGCGAGCGCAGGTCATATGTCTTTGGGCGCTTGCAACCCCGGGGCGCCGCCTTCGAAGATGGGCACTTTGACGACGAAGGCGGACCATTATACGATGGACCGCGAGCGGCATGCATTGAAAGCTTCTCGGGTGGCGTCGTTCGCATGGACGACGGGCCGTCTCCTTCGCAGAGCCGTCATCGCCGCTGCGGGCAGGGCGTCGGCGTCGGCAGAGATACGAGCGCATCAAGTCATCGACTCCGTGTCGTACGATGAAACGCCCAATCAACTCATGCGTGGCAGCGACGGCCCAGTCAAAATCGATGCAACGTCTCGCAATATACCAATTGGGGCACGTGCGCCAATCGTCGCGGGCAACAGCCTAGGCAGGACAAATGCCAGCGACGCTGTCAAACTATTTTAGACACTTTCCGAGCGGGGTTGCTACGCATCATCGAAAGTTGGAGATCCGATTCCGAAGATTATAGTGCGTGGGCGGTCTGCAACTTGCCTTCAGACGTTGCGACGCACGAGCGCAGCTTGTATAAAGCAGGCCCTGGTTGAGTCCGATCTGGCATCTTTGCGCGACAGCGGCGCCGAAGCCGCCGCGCGCCTGGTCCACGTCGACCGACGCAGTTCCAACATCAATGGGAGAGAATGATTTTTCGAGTTCGCGCGGAGGCGCGCGGGACGCCCCACCGACGCGTCGCGAAGTGCGCAAGGCGGGTGACCAGCACGTGGCCCGCATAATTGTCTTCAACACCCATTGCGATTGGCTTGGGAACGACAGCGTGTAACGCGGCGCCCGGGGGGTGGCGCGCGCGGGGGGGTCGCCCCGCAGGGGCAGCGTGCTTTGGGGAGGAAGAAGCCGCGCGCTACCTGACCATTGGAATGCACTGCCCTTCTGCGCTGAGGCAGTTGCATATAAGGGTGCACAGAGGACCGATTGTTTGCACAGTTTGGAGGAAACAGCAAATGCAGCATGGGTTAGGCATGAAGTACCTCGAAGAAAGCGCGCGCACCCAATCGCAAGCGTATGGCTATTTGCGGACCGAGGACAGTTTGCTTCCCGTCGTCGCCCTCGCCCTTGCCCCGCCCCCCTCTGACCCCCCCCCCCCTGGGCAGCGTCGAAAGCGCCCGCGGCTCGGGGGGGGGGGGCCTATCCACTTCCTCGTTTCGCATTGCATCCCTGCTTCGCTGTCCGTCGTCCTACCTCGTCTTCCCTCATTGTTCGAAGAAGAGAAGTGAGGTCCCTGGTGCCACGCGCCTGCGTCAGCGGCATGCCGCCCTTTCGATGTCCAAGCACAGCGGCGCAACCGGGCCGAGGGGATTGCCGACGCGAGCGCTCGGGGCGCGCTCCAGACGCGGGCGGCGCGGCCGCCGAACACAGCGGCATCGCTGACGTGTAAATGTTTAGGTGCCCGCGGCGAGGTCCGCCCCCTCGACGGCGCAGTGGTCTGCGTGGCGACGCGTGGAGCTTTGATTGTTAAAAGGTCTATGACATGTGACACCTCTCGTGTTCCCAGATTGCCGCGCGGCCTTCTTCGGGGTCCTTCGGGGCCTTTTGCGGGGCGTCTTCGGGCCGTCGGGGGCCGCCCTGGGCCGGGGAAGCGCGCTTTGGGGCGCGCCGGGCCGGGGGCGCGCGCGCCTGCCCCCCCCCTGCGCGGGCGCGTCGACTTCGGTTCTGGGTCGGCAAAATCGCACCCCCCCCCCCCCCCCCCTCGAGGTGGTGAGAGTTTTTTTTCGAAATGCTGGATCGTGGCGAGGCATGCGCGCGCAGTTGGTGTTTGCAATTGTGTATTCTCGTGCGCGGGCCCATTGTCTACGCTGATCGCGGCGTGATCTGCGCGCGCAGATATTGTTCCCATCTGTGTATTTAGAGCGTGCCCCTCGCGGGTGGCGCTGAAACTTCCGCGCTTCTCTTTCGGCCGGTCCAGGGCGGGCGTCGCGCGCCGTCGAAATGGGCGGCTCGCGTCTCCAACTGCGCGCGCGTTGCGCGCCGCTCGCTTGAGCGGTCACTGGGCGGGGGGTTCCGCGGATCTCCCGGCTGGCCCAGGGGGGGGCCGTGGTCTGGGGGCGCAAAGGCGCGGCGGGGTGGGGATGGCGGGCTATGGGGGGGGGAAGGGCTCGGCGGGGCGGGTGGCGAAGTGGCCGGGGGCGAAATGGGCAGGGCGACAGGGGGGGAGTTGGCCCGGCAGGAGCTGCATCATCGGCATCAGCATCGCGAAGGCGAGGGGGGCGGGGGGGCAGAAGGAGAGGGGGCGATCTGCACTAGGGCGAGAGGGCGGGAGGCAGGCTCGCGACCGGGCGATAGGGGAGATCGCCCAGCGGAGGAGGGGCGCGAGGAACGGCGTGACTTGGCATATGGGGGCGGGGGTGGAAATGTGGACGAGGGGCGCGATGAGGGCCGGGGGTGGCCGGAGAGACTTGGGGGTGAACCCTGCGTCTGGCCGCCTGTCGCGGCGGGGGGGGGTGGGGGGGGGGGCGGCGGGGGGGGCGGCGGGGAAGTCGGCTGGGGCGGTGGCGGATGGGGGGCGCGGGGAGAGGGGGTGGCGGGGCGAGGGGGGGGGGGCGACGGGGGGGGCGCGAGTTCGACGGGGGGGGGGGCAACCGCAGGTAGCGGCTAGCTGAGCGACGAGGGACAGAAGGGGGGGCGCGAGGGATTGAGAGGTCGGGCGATGGGAAGCGGGCGCGGGGGGCAAGGCTAGCGGCGGGGCGGAGTGACCCGGGGAAGGCTCGAGGCTAGTGGCTGGGGAAGGGGCGAGGGGGGGGGCGGTGCATGGAAGATGGAGCCATAGACTACTACAACGGATATCGGGGCGAGGAAGCGGGGGAGAGGGTTGGGAGGGTGGCGGGGAGAGGGGAGGCGCCACGTTCCCCTTACTTCCTCCGCCTTCCCCGCCAAGCTCGCCGCAGGGCGTGGCCATGATGAAGCAGGGCTACGCATGCTCGAATGGCTCGGGCGAGGCCGCGGCGGCCGTCGGATTGCGCGGCTGCGATGGCCGCGCGGAGTTTTGCGAGACGCGCGCGCCAGGGGTATTTATCCTTCGGCCAGGTCTGCCAGGATGCGGCTGGCGATGACGAGTTCGCGGCCGACCTCGAGGGCGCGATCCAGGCGCCCAATTAAAGTCCAAGTTCACGCCGAGCTTCGGCCGGCAAAATTGTAGTCCACCCGATGAACGACGACGCGTGGGCGCGCGTCCGCTTGTTCAGCGACGTGCCGACGCCAGCGAGACGAACATCATGACAGACTTGCGCGGTCTGATGGCCTCGCAGATGGGGCGCGCGATGGCCGCGAAGCTGAGAGATCCCAATGGCGCGGCGGCATCTTTTGCCACGCGAAGCTTGCCGAGCCTCGCAATTGCCAGCGAGAGGGCGTCGCAGCTTGGCGGCGCGACTCTGAACCTCCAGTCTCGCGGGCAGATGGTCGCCCCCTTTCCCCGGGCTCCAAGGCGGCCCAGCGGCGTCGTCCGTGCGCTTCGGGGGCCCCGCCGCCCGCCCCCCGCAGGAGCGCCGCCCGCTGGGCGCGCGGGCGGCGGGATGGCCATCGAGGGCGGCCGCGGAGGCGACGCCTATGGCATGGCCGTGGCGAGGGCGGCGATCCAGCAGGTTCCGGCGCCGAAGTCGAAGCCTCGGATGGCGGTTGGGCAGTTCGGCCCGATCCCGAGCACCCGCCGAGCGCCCTGCAGGCGGCTGCGCCTGCTTCCGCCGATGGCCACCGCGGGCGGACTGCGACACCGTGCGCCCCTGTTCGCGGGGGCCGCGGCAGTCGGCAAGCCGCTATCATGGAGGACAGCCCCGAATCCAAGAAGATCCAGCCTGACCTGCAGGCGAAGGTCACAGCGCCCGAGGGGGCGCCCGAGTACTGGCTCCAGCAGATTGGTCTCTGTTTGATCATGTCGGGCGGCCGCCCTGGCCAAGGGCCGCGCCACTTGCACCTTCTCCTCCAGAATTCTGCCGAGCGAAAGCGGCCCGCCATCAGGGCGCATTTTGATGCAGTCAATCGGGCCTAGGAGGTAGTCAGGATGAGCGCGCTGGAGGAGTCCAGCTAGCACGAGCACTCGGACAAGATGACGGGGGTCGTTCTCGATCTGCCTCCATGTTTCCGCGCGTCTGTGCTGGGCTATACCGAAGAGGGTGCGTGCCAAGTGGGATGCAGACCCCGCCAACCAGACCGCCGCCCTCATCGAGCACATGTCACTGCACCGACCATGGAAATGGTCCCGCAGACGGGGGCGTCTTCAACTCCCGCAAACCTGTGTGCGGGTCTCAACGATGGCCAGGCGGTCTGGGCATTCTTCGACGAGCTGATTGTTGAGCGCTTGATCTAGCTCATCCTCGGCGACGCGGAGAAGGAGGACTAGGTCTTAGACTTTGCCAGGTGTGGCCAGAAGGTCTTCGCGCTCCCAGAGGGCGCAACCGTCGATGATGAACGCGCTGCGGCGATAGTCACAACGCAGCAGCTCTGCCAGGCGGTCTTGACGACGGCCTCCGAGACTATAAGCAGCGATGACACAGCCAGCGTAGTCGACGACATCAAGAGTTTGGAGGCCGCGAGTAGCGCACCCATCTGGCCCCAAGTTGGCGCGCTGGGGCTCGCCACGCACTGGGGCTTGCACAGCGCCGAGGCGGTTGAGTCCATGAAGACGCTGAAGGGGCGTGCGCTCCTGATCGCGAAGGACGCGCCTGAGTTGGGCGGCCTCTCGAAAGCGATGCAGCTCGACGATGTGCCCGACAAGGCGCTTGCTTTGGTCCAGCGGCTGCCCTTGTACATCGCCCGATTCGGGGCCGAAGCGGTCGGGGAATTGAAGGCGAAGCTGATCAATGTCTTCTCCGCCCTGGCACAGAGGCTGCCGGCCAGGGGCTGGGATGGCGACGCGGCCGCGCGCGATGGGAGGTACGTCATCTTACCGAAGGCCTGCAAGGGCGCCCTCGACGAAACGCCATCATCTGCAGGGCCAGCGGCGCCTTGGCCCACCAGCTGCACAGCTAGAACTGTCGAGTTGACCAGGCGCAGGCCAGTCAGCAGTGCACCGACCCGACGGCGACGCTGAGAGCCTTCGTGAACGTCGCTTGCGACATCGTGAAGCTCATGCCAAATCTCAAGCTGTGCAAGAATGCCAACATCGGAGGCGAGGACGTCCCCACCTTGGCGACGGGGGCGTGGAGCCGGCGCACCGATTGCGACGATGTCCAGAAGGTGCTCGGCGCAAGCCGACGGTCGAGGAGAGCATCAGCCTGATCACGCACACCTGTGCCGTTCGCAGGGCGGAGCGGGCCGCCCTTGGTGACTTCGCCCCCCTCGACGAAGCATGCAAGAATTACGGTGCTGAGAGACAGTGGGAGCGCTCCCTCAACGCCCTCGTGGTCTGCGACGCCCACTGCAACACGGCGAGAACTCCTGGCGAAATCGTCGGCCTCTACAAAGGGGATCGGCGGTCAGTTCAAAGACCGTGCCGCGCAGGTCATCCAGGCGGCGAAGCAGCCGCAGGACCGCGTCGTTGTGTTCAAGTTGAATGCTATGAAGAGCGGGATCCAGCAGTCCTGCAGGACCTTGGATGCGCGGCGCATTGGGATGATGCCCTTCAAGGAGTGGTCTTTGCAGGCCAATGGCGATGCCACTTGGAGTGCCATCTCCAACTTGGGCCAGGAATTCACGGGCTTGGACTTCGAATCTTTCTACTCAGACTTCGAGAACATCCATGGGGCGCCTCGTGACAACGACGCAATGGCACATCGGGCGGGTGCCGGGGGGGGGGGGGGGGGGGGGGGGGGCGCGCATGGCGATCGGCTGTTTGACGAGGGTGGTGGTGGGAGGGCGATGATCCGGGGGCGCAGCGTAGCGTGAAGGACGATGTGGGGGGATGAGGGCGCGGAAGAACGAGGGCGCTCGAGGGTGTGATGTGGGGCGTTCGCCAGCGTCGTTGTCGCGCGGTTTCCGATGGCCACGGGGGGCATGCGACGCGAAGAGGAAGGGGCGCGGCCTCGACGCCGACGGAGCGTTCAACACAGATGCCACCGAGTCCATCCATCGGGCTCTTGCAATGGTGGCGTCGGCTCATGCGGTGAACAAGCCCGCCGACAAGAAGCTGGCCCCCAACGAGGTTTGCCTCCGCACCGCCTGCAGCGAGATCATTGCCACCATGCGCTTCCACAGGCTGCCCTCGGATGTGATCGCGCCGCCCGTCGCCTCGAGGTTCAAGGGGGGCCCTGCGCGATCGCGTGCGCGGGCGACAGTGGCGCAGGTCAAGGCGCGCAACTTATTGTTGGCGACAGCGTGCCAGGAGACAGGGCGCACCCGCGCCCAGTCGGGACTCGACACTGCGATGCGAGAGCCATGGTTTTGCAAAGTTTACTGGGAACTTGAAGCTGCTGAGAGCCTCCCGATCCCTTGTGGAAATCAGGTTCCGGGCATGCCTGCGCGACTCGCTCTGCTGCCAGGTTCGGGCCACGCTCGGTGTGAGTCAGGGTCGGGCTCAGGTTCTGGTCGTGCCCCGATATGGCCCAGGCTCTGACCCTGAAGTGGTGATGGTGAGTGTGGATTGCGCACGCGAGTGACAATGTCTTGCGCGTTGCTGTGCGCGCGTGCGCGAGTATTCTACAACGCGCGCGCGTGCGTGCTCTATTTGCGCGTGTAGCGCGCTCTGTTGCGCGTGCCCCTGCGCGTGCCCCTGCGCGTCCTCGCCATCGTCCTTTTCCATGCCTTTCCCGCCTCATCCTCCGCCTCCACCTTCCCCCCATCCTACCTTATTCGCCCCGTTTCCTCCTCCTCCTCCCCGCCCGCCCCTGCATCCCCAGTTGTTTAATTTCACATTCCATGCCCCTCCCTCCCCAGCCCCAGTCAACCCCCCCCCCGCGCGCCCAAGCATCGCCTGGCAAGCAGGGGGCGGGATCGCCAAAGTTGCGGTTTTACGAGTATAGGGACTGTGTCGGTTATTAAGGGAAGCGCATAACATGTCCCGCGCCGTGGCCCTTTGGCCTTCTCTCGCTTGCTGTGGACTTTAGGCCGCAGCCCTTGGAGAAGGCGCTTTCGGTGGTCAATTCGATTACCGTCGCATCGGACGCTGCATGCCTTGCCGATCTGCGTGCGGGGGGGGGGGGGGGGGAACCCAGTGCTCCAGAGGTGTGGCATATCGATGCGTGCTAACGCCCTCCACCACCCCTCAACATCTTTCCTTTTCCCCCCTTTCCTTGGCGCTGGCTCAATTCGTCGGCAGTTGGGCGCAAGCGCCGCTGTGCGTGGTAGCGGGCCGATTGCTTTGGGCGCGGATGGACGCGCGGTCGACGCGCGACAACTCCCCGCGGGGCAGTTGTGGACCTGGCGGCCTCGTGCTGCCCTTCATTGGCGCATCGAGCTCGGTTGCGGTTGCTGTGGCTCGAGAGAGGTTGGCGGTCGCGCGGGGGGGGGGGCCCGCGGCGGAGCCATTGGGGCACGCGGGCGGGGCCGCGTCCCGACTGGCGTCTCGGCGGCCGCGTAGTATCCATGATTCGAGAATGTACAGAGGTTTGCCCTGGGCCCATTTCCGAATTTCGAAGCGCCCATCAACTGGGCGACTGCGCGCGCGTGCATGCCGCGGCTAGTGCGACGACGCGGATCGGCCGCGCGCGCGGGCATTGCGCTGGGGCGCGCCAAGGCGCGCGCGCATCCGCGCGTAGCGGGGCGTAGCGCAGCGCTCGCGCACTCGAGGTCGCTTGCGCGCGCGGCTGTGCGCGCCATGTTCGCGCGCGGGCGCGCGGGCCGTCGGCCTGCCTCGAGCTCGCGCGCCCTGGCGCGCGCGGTGCGTAGATGCCCAGCGCCCCGTTCGGTGTATCATGGCGTTGCAGTGGATCTCGCCTTGGCCTTGGGCGCGGGGGGCCAGCCAGGCGCGAAGCGCGCGCGCTGGCGCATTCATGCCAGCGCGCGGGCATGAACGCACGGCGCCCGCTAGGCGCCTGCGCGCAATGAGAATATTCGCGCGCGCAGTTTCGTTCGAGTTGCGCTTGCGGGCGCCGGCCCGCGCGCGCCATGGCGCCCGCGCGCGAGAGTTTGCGCCTGCGGGCGCGCGCGTGTATTCGCGCGCACCTTCGCCGGTGTAAGCGCCCCCATTGCGCGCTAGCTCTCGTGCTGCGTGAGCGCGCGCGCGAGAAGCGGGCTTTGCGGAATTGCCACTGGCGGCACAGCTTTTTCCGAACTTTAAAGCGGGGGCCTTTGAGGGGCCTTTTGCGTGCCTTCTGGGCATTTCAACTTGTTCAAGTGCCTAGCGGTTTGCGCCCACCCATCGCAACCCAAGGTGCCCCCAATATATCCCAAGGTGGCCGGAAAACAGGCCCCGAGAGTGTAAAAAAAAGGGCCCATCATAACACCATGCGCCATGAAGCGGGGAAGTTAGCCCGAGATGGCCATCATCGTCGAAATATTTGAAGTGTTCTGGTGGTTTCAGCATCGTTGGGTTTTTAGCTTCGTCGTGGCTTCAGAAGATTGCGAGGCGGCCCAAGATGGCACTGGGCCTCAACAGCGGGCCGAATTAGCGGAAGGCCCAAAGACCTAAGGGCCCATGGGCAGCCCAGGAGGGCGACGCCCAGGACGCAGCCGTGGCCTTCGGGCTGGCGGAATGAGCAGGCCGCGGCGAGATCTCCATTGTCGGGCAACGGTAGTTTCCCTGATGATGCTGACGATGACGATGACTTGCTGTGGAGAGTGATGATGCTGACGATGACGACAATTAGGAGTGTGATGATGGTGGTGACATTTGCGATGAGTGATGGCGATGGCGCGGATGATGAGGAAAGTGATGGCGACGGGATGGAGGGAGAGAGCGCGTGTCGGGCCGGGTCATTCCCGGTCCGTATTTGTTTGATTCCCTCCTCGTGCCCCCCCTCCCCCACTGTTTTTATCCACCTCTCGAGTTGTAGAATTGTTCCCAACCCTCCTGCGTTGGATTTTCGTTTTGAACAGAGCAGTGTGGTCGCACACCTTCCTTCATTCGCGCCCCCTCGGCCTTTTTTTCCTGCCTTTCACCTCGCTCTTCCCTGCGTGCCAGCTTGCCTCCTACTTGGCCATTCCTGTGGGGCTGTGATATGCGAAGCTGTTGCCACGTTCGAGGGCTGCTGGGGGGCCCAGGGGAGTGACATGCTACGCAGACTCACGCTAGACCTCGCCATCCTTGCGGGGCTACGATCTGGGAGGCTGTCGACACTTTCGATGGCTGCTTGGGCCTCCAGCGGAGTGAGGTGCTACGCAGAATCAGATTCGACCTCGCCATCTTGATCTGCGAAAATATCGTAAGTTTCTGGGGCTGCTCGGGGGTCAGCGAGGTGACGTGCTACGCAGATTCATATTAGACCTCGCAATCCCTGTGGGGCTGCGATATGTGAAACTCTCGACATTCTCAGGTTTGCTGGGGGGTCCAGCGGAGTGACGTGCTACGCAGACTCAGATTAGATCTCGCCATCCCTGTGGGGCTGGCTTCTGGGGGGTCCAGCGGAATGGCGTGCCACGCGGACTCATACTAGACCTCGCCATCCCTGTTGGGTTGCGATTTGGGAATATGTCGCCATTTTCCAGGGCTACTTGGGGGTCCACCGGGGCGCTGTCGCGGGCCGCCCGCAGACCTGGCGGCGCGCCTTCGAGCGTTTAGAGCCGCATTGAAACACCCAGGAAGGAAACAGGCGGGCGAGCTAGGCCGCGCTCGCTGCTTGAGCAACTTATATGCATCGCTGGGCCTCGCTCGCTTCTTGGGATAGGCCTCGCTGGCTCACTAGACTTCACTCGCTTCATTTTGTTTAGCGCCGCGGCGACATGGCCACGTGAACGCATCCCATGTAACTTGCACAGCATAACTGCGCCAATGCTGTCATTGTCCTGGCAAGTTTTGGCCACATCTTCTTATTACTTGATGCGAATGGGTTGGGTACGTCGCAGGGTAATGTTGGAAGAGCTGAGGAGGAGGACGAGGATGCGGAGGAGGACGAGGAGGAGGAGGATGGGAAGGAGGAACATGTATGGGAGGAGAAGGAGCAGAAGGAGGAGGAGGAATAGGAATCATGGGAGGAGGAAGAAGAGAAGGAGGAGGATGAATAGGAACAGGAGGAGGAGGAGGAGGAGGACAAGTAGGAAAAACACTACGAAGAGGAAGAACACGCAGATGAAGAACACGAATAACTAATACTGGGAATATGCATTGTGGATACGAAGAATGAATTTACTAAGAGCAATTCACGACATGTGATAATGATAGTAATCAGAAGCGGAATGCGAACACGAAAACGAGTGAACAGGGCATGAACATCACTAGTCCTAATAATCATAATCACACAACGGACACTCATAGTATGAATACGTACAACAAATAAGACAATTAATATTACTACCTGTAGTTGTACGACACATAATCGTAGACATAATAAGAAGCAGGCGAGGGATCACCATACTCACAGTAACAATCAGAAGCGGAGGAGGAGGGGGAGGAGGGGAAGGAGGAGGAGGATGCGGAGGAGGAAGAGGGGGAGAAGGAGGATGAGGAGAATGACGTACCAGAGGCCGTAGAATTGTTGCAGATTGCAGTTGGAGTTCTGTAGTGGCCATCGGCCAGTCGCGGCGCCGTGCCTTGGTTGTGGGTGAGTGGCCTGTTGGCCTCTCGGAGGCCTATTGAGGGGCTCTTGAGGCCTTCGTGGGGCGCTCTGGGGGCCTTGAGGAGTTTTTGGGGCTCTCGGGAGGTGTCGAAGAAGTCCCATTCCCGTTCTTGGGGCTGTCGTGGGCCATTTTTGGGCCGTTTAGGAGGTTGTTTGGCCGTTTTGGGGCCTCCCTTGGGCCATCTCGGGCCCGTCGGAGAAGTCTCATTCCCGTTCTCGGGACTGTCGCGGGCCATGTTTGGGCCGTTTAGGAGGTTGTTTGGCCGTTTTGGGGGCCCTTCTTGGGCCATCTCGGGCCCTCGGGGCGCCCTTCCTGGCCTTCGAAAGGCGATCTCGGGGGCCCCTCGGGCTGTCTTGGGCCCCGTGGGAACCACAGAAGCAATAACGCTGCAACCATTGAAACAGCAATAGTGGTTGCTTGCTGAGGCCTTGCGGGGTTTTCTTTCATGGACGTCCACTCGCACACGCGCGCGGTTTTGTGACATATACACACATATGTATATATCTATATATATATATATATATATATATATATGTGTGTGTGTGTGTGTATGCTCTGAACCTGTTTGCCCCGTTCAGCGAATTCTGTTTACTATCCTTCGGATGAGGTTTCTGAAGGTCCCGGGAGGCCGAGCAAGAGCCTAGAGCTGCTCAAGAGGCCTGCATCGTTCCTAGTCCTTCTCCCTCCTCCTCGCTCTTCCCTCCTCCTTCCCCCCTCTTGACTCCATCCCTCCCTCCCTCCCTCCGTCCTCCCTCCTCTTGTCCTCCCTTCCTCCCTCCTCCCTCCATCCTCCCTTCTTCCTCCCTCCTCCTCCCTCCTCCCTCCTTCTCTTCCTCCCTCTTCCCTCCTTCCTGGTCTTCCTCCTCCCTTTCGCCACAGCGTCAGGTTTATGGGCCCAAGTTGGCGCCTGCTTCAGCCCTGGCTGACCCCAGCCGTGCGCCCGTCTGCGGGCCGCGGTGGCGATCCGCCACGCGCAGCCTGCAGATTGCGCGCGGTCCGCATCGCTTGGGCTGCAGCTGCCCGTGGGGTGTGTGGAGGCCGATTCGGGCTAGGGTTGCGCGCCTGGTGTGTGGAAGCTTCCCGCTGCAGACACGCTGCGTTGTGATTCGGTTGCGTCGGCTGCCGCGGCATTCGCGAATGGTGTCGCTGCGGCCTGCCACCTCTTCCCTCATCTCTGCGGTGCCGACGCGGAGGCCAAGGGCCACGGCAGGAGGGGAGGATGATGAGCACCGACGGCGGTGTGGTGACCGACGATGCGAAGGTGAGCATCAACATGTTCCCGCTGGTCGACGGGGATCAGCTGAGCAGGAAGGTCAGCCAGGGCAGTACCCAGCCCACCTGCGGGACGGAGGTGAGCACGGGCGACGCGCTGCAAATCATGGCGCGGTGACGGTCCGCGTAAACAACCCCCACGTACGCGGAACCCGAGAGTCAGGGCATGATGTTCGACACCTACGGCTTGGACCTGAGCACCGACGGCAACGCAGTGACCCGCGGCGCCCATGAGCGTCGACGACAGCCTGGTGGCCGACGGCGACCAGAGGGCAGATACTGCAACCGAGGCCGCACACAGATCACCGATGAGACGGCGGTGAGGAGCGTGAGGCAGCATGGGAGCCCCATTGGAGACGCGGCCTGCCGGTCATGGGCCCGTCGTGCGTTATTGAGCGCGTATGGCGCGCTTGCAGGGCTTGCGAAGGCGGCCCGTCTCTTCTTCCTCTCCTCAAGCACCCTCTTGTTTGTTCTCTCCTCCTCCGCCCCCGCAGCTGGCACATGTCGGCGCCCGACGGTTGCTGGGCACAACACCTCCCTGCGGCTTTCTCTCGCCCCACCCTGGCATGCCGAGGTCATCAGCAACCTGCACGCCGAGTGCGATTGGCTGATCAAGCGACCTCGGCGGCCGACAAGAAGCGCCAACAAAGCGGGGGCGGACGCGGCGGGCGGAGAAGGGGGGGGGGAGGAGCGACGGGACCCGTGGTCTTTCGGTGGCAGCGGGCCTCGGCACACATAACGCATGAGGCTGCGGAGGCGGCGGGGGAGGCGGCGACGCAGGGCTTGAGCAGGTTAACATCCAATGCTAGAGTTGCTGAGGCAGGCCCTCTACCGACTTTCTCTTGCGCATATCAGAGTTTGAGTGTGAGATATCCGTGTGATGCATGCGGGCGATTCCCATGTCTTTGAAGTATTTGACTTGATCGGGGGCGGAGGCGGTGATCCCATCACTAACTTCGACTCGAGCATAGGCTGTCGGAGCGGATTTCTTGTGTGGGCGCTGGATTCCCCTTCCTGGCGCGCGGAGCGCGCCAGTATGGGGGGTCCAGCTACTGGGGGGGAAGATGATGAAGAGGGCGAGGCCGTGAGGCAGTGGGATGGAAGCTGCGTGGCGTGAAGGGGATGCATGTGGGAGAGGGGGATGGGAGGGAGGGGTGGGTGGGTGGCAAGAGGGAGGAACCGAAGAAGGGGAAACGAAGGATCATGCTGAGGGGCGATGGGGAGGAGGGAGAGTGCTGAGGAGGAAGGAAGAGGGAGCGCGAGTGCAGGACGAGGGGGTCCACGGATGAGCTCATGAGGCCAGCGGTTGATCTCTCAGCAGGTACTTCGACGTCCGCAAGGCCGCACGAACCGAGGACCTTTCGGTAACGTCGGCGCGGTTGCAGCTGTCGGGATATCACGACCACGACGATGGTAATGACGTTGACGACAATGGTATTGATGGTGATTGCGATGACACTCTACGTAGTGACTTGGCAGTGAACATGTATATGTATAGATTTAGGAATATATGTATATCTATGTTTATATATGTATATATATGTGTGTGTGTGTGGATGTGCGACGGTGTTCGTGGCGCATGCGATGAGGGTGCTGACGAGGATTTCCGTGCTGATTATGAGGCTGGTTATGAGTACGATGCAGATGAGGATGATGTTGATGATGCTGATGGTGGTTGTGGTGGTGGTGGTTGTGATGATGCCGATGATGATGATAATGATGATGATGATGATGATGATGATGCTGATGCTGATGATGCTGATGATGATGATGATGCGGATGCCGATGATGATTGTGTCGATGCTGGTGATGATGATGACGATGCTATGATGTTGATGGTTGTGGTGATGATGATGATGGTTTGTGGTGGTGATGGCGATGCCTGTGATGATGGTGATGGTGGTGATGACGATGATGACGTTGATGATGATAATGGTGATGATGATGTTGATGACGATGCCGATGATGGTGATGATGATGATGATGATGATGATGATGATGATGATGATGATGATGAAGTGATGATGATGATGATGATGATACTGATGATGATGATGATGATGATGATGATGATGATGGTGTTGATGATGCTGCTGATGATGCTGCTGGTGATGATGCTGATGATGGACACGATGATGATAACGATGATGCAGATGATGATGGTGATCGCGATATGACGGCTGGGATCACTGCGAGCGAAGCTTTTGAGCTCCTGACGTGGATGTGTACCCGTCGTCGCCTCGAGCGCGCGCGCGCGCTACCTCCTGCACCTTAGACAATCTCAACAACAGGAAGCTGCCCAGATCGGCCGATTACCGGTAAAGGTCCCCCAGAGCATGAGAAACAAAGCCCAGACCATCCAACACCTCAGGAGATCGCAGACGGCATCCCTGCCCATCCGTACACCTGATTGATCTCAAATGGACGGCCAGAGGCCGCCGAAAGCCTACGAGAGTCCTTCCAAGATCCCCCGCATAGACTCCTCCAGCGTCGGCATCGGAGCGAGGAGGTCCACGATGCCTCCCCGAGCTAGATTTTGGAGATGCCGCGAGCGGGACGGGATGACCGCACCACGAGCAGGACCTTCCCTTGCTCTCCGCGTGGTGCTGGCGGTGTCACCCTTCAGTGCTCCTCAACAGGAGATCGAGTCCCTGGACAAGGCGAAGGCCGTGCTGAACGGCGCAGACTACTCCCTCCTCCAGCAGGGGAAACGCGTGGCGCTCCGCGGCGCCTGAGCAGTGAGGCGCCTCGGGGGCTCGGGCGTCGCCCCGGTTCCGCGCCGCCGCCCCGGCGCCAGGCGCCATGCGGCGACGGCGGGTCCCCTGCCGGGTCGAAAAAAGGCCCGCGTCGCGCGCGCGAGCCTCGCGCGGGCGCGGCCGAGCCCCTTGACCTCCCCTTGAGGCCCTGGCTGTCTGCGAGTTTCTCACAGCGGGCGTTTTCGTGAGGCTGCGGGCCCCGGGGTCCACCACGGATCGATCGGGCTCGAAGAATGGCGCAGGAAGGATGGGGTCCAGGGCTCCAGTTGTGATGTTGCGCGGTGTCGCGTTTGGTTTGGCAACGTCGGATCTCAGGGAGGCCTCCGACATTCATCCCGGTGGTGTCAACGAGGGTGGTGATGACTGGGTGCGGATTTTGTGGAGGGTACCATGGAGTCACTCTGGATGTCATGGCCCGCTTCTTTTCGTTCATCGCATTCCCTGACCTTCCCCCTTCGTGCTCAGCCCCTTCCACGCTTCTCTCTTGGTCGCCCCCGTGTATCGGAGGAGAGGTAAACGGCGGAACCACCAGCGGGAGTGACACCTCCTTCCAGGAGGTCCGTGATGCCTCCGCGAGCTGGGGACCGTGTTTCGCGAGCCCGCATACCAAAAACAAATCCCCACCAGCCGCGCCGGCAATTAGGTTCGCTCGTAGCCCGAGCTGACTCGACCCTCGCGGACGCCTTCGCTTGTGGCCGCGGAAAAATGATCCCCACCAGCCCATCCAGATAACGATGTCCAGGCGAGCGCGGGAAGTGCGAGACCAAAAAGGCGGGAGCACACAGGGGTAGGCCGAACCATACGAAGGAGGGAGGAGGAGAAGGAGGAGGTTGGATGGATGGATGAGGGAGTGGGAACAGGGAAGATGAATAGGAGGAGGAAGAGGATGAAGAGGAGGAGGCGGAGGAAGAGGAGGAGGAGGAGGAAGAAGAAGAGGAATAATGATACTACGAATAATAATAATCATACACATAAGAAGAAAACGAACAAGACACCTAATCCAAATTATAATAAGGCGAATGCTACAAGAAGAAGAAGAAAACGAATAATCAGACGACTAAGAAGACGAATGATAATAAGACGAAGACGAATAATAAGCAGACGAACAATAATACTAATACGAAAGAAGGATAATACCAATAATACTAATAATAAGAATAATAATAATACTAACAATAATAATAATGCTCGTGCGAGAGGAAGACGAATAGTAATACGAATAATGACTAGTAATACTAATACCAAGAAGAACCATGATAAAACATAATAAGAAGAACATCGACCATACTATGAATATTAATAATAAGAAGAATAAGACACATACTAATACAACGAATGTGAAGAAGGCGAAAAACACGACTACTCATAAGACGAATCATGGTAATAATAAGAAAAGGAGGAGGAAGGAGGAGGAAGGAGGAGGAAGGAGGAGCAGGAGGAGGGGGACAAGCAAAAGGGCCAGAGGTCTCGTGGATGCCTCTTGGAGCCTCTTGGGGGCGCTTTTTGGTGGTCTCTCGGAACGTTTTGGGGGTCTCTAGGCGGTCCTGGGGCTCTTTGGGGCCACCTGGGGACCTCTTGGGGACCTCTTGGGGGCCTCTTGGGGCCATCTTGGGTCATCTTGGGGCCTGTTGGGGCCTCCTCGGCCTCGCCGAAGAGCTTCGTTTGGTGCTTCTCCGGGTCCTCGAAGACCCGGAGGAGTGGCCTGCCTCCCGCTCGCTGCGTTTTGCCGGGCTCCGTGTCGCTGGGATCCCCAAGAGAGGGTCTGATGACGCTCGTCCGGTGGCGGTCGCCCCCGTGTGGCTTCGGGCGTGGCACAGCTGCCTCCTTCGGTCCCTCCCCCCCGCCCCCGACGGCGCCTGGGGGGAAAAAGGGGGCGGTTCGGTCCTTCGCGGACTGGGCCGCCGCGCCTGGCGAGGCCGGGGCCGAGGTGGACATGCAGAAGGCGTCCGACTCGGTCGCCCACCAGGTCGCGACCGATGCCCTCCTCCACCTAGGTGCGCATCCGGCCGTGGTGCGCTTCCTGGTGCAGACCTGGCGCGCGCTCCGGTTCTGTTCGGTGGGGGGCTGCATTAGCGGCCCCCTCCACCCCGTGCGGGGATTGCCGGCGGGTTGCCCATGCAGCGGGCGCACCCTGAGCTGCGTGTTGGCCCCGTGGCACGCCCGGCTCCGATCCCTCTGGAATCCCACTGGGGCGTGGTCGTATGTGGACGACAGGTCGGTGAAGGCTGCGGACACGGCGGCGCGGGACGCCGCGCTCGCCGCCGCTGAAGCTCTCGACCCCCTCCTCGGTGTGGTCGAGAACCTGAGCAAGAGGCAGCACTGGGAAGGGGCGGAGACCGCCGAGCACCTCGGCATCCGTGGGGCCGCGTCCTCGGGCCTTGTCCACCCCCCGGTTCCCTTGCCTAGGGACGGCTGGGGTAAGGTGACTGAGCTGACCACGCGCCTTGCTACCCTCCCTGGGTCCGCGGGGATTCGCGAGCGCGCCTGGGTCCAGTGCGTGGCGTCCAAGTGGCGCTGGGCCGTCCCGTTCGTCTCTTCCCCGCCTGCTGAGCTCACGCGCCTGACGTTCCGTAGCGTCTCGCGCACGTGCTGCACGTGGTGGTGCCAAAGCAGGTGGTGGGCGGAACGGCTGGTCCTGCACCCTGTCTTTGGGACTTCCTTGCAGGTGCTGAGAGCTGCCAGCGGCTATCCTACCTCACCGTTGTCGTTTTCCTCTGTGGGCCACCACGCCGCCTCTTTCGGGCTTCGCCTTGTTCCGCATGTCCCCCTCCCCGGGGTCTGGGTGGTGCCTGGGGGGCTCGTCGATCCTCGCGCCCAGGTTGCCGTGCGCCGTGCTGTGGTCCCGCCTGCCCTGGCCGCTCTCTTGGGGTACGCGGCCATTGCAGGGGCCTTTGACGCTTCTGGTGAGCCTGGCCAACACGCCCTCCGGGTCCTGGCCAGGTGCCTCCTCCTGCAGCCCCGCCAAGGCGTCCAGCCGCGGCACGACGAGGAGGGGATCGATATCATCGACATCGAGGCCTCGAGCGCACATGCGTGGCGGGACTGGCGCCAGAGCCTCTGCCCTCAGTCTCGGTCTTTGCTCAGCGTGTGGCAGGGCGGGGCTGCCCGGGCCCCCGCCCGCCACGGCCGCGGCAAGTGCGCTAAGGCATGCCCTTGGTGCCCAGAGCTGCTCTGCTCAGCTCGGCACCTATGGGCAGCATGCCCTCGCTTCGCTGAGGCCCGCGCCCGCCTCGGCGCCGAGGTCGGCATCCCTGCGGACTGGTGGGCGGCCCGGCCCCGGATTACGGCCAAATCCGGGTGGATCACGGCGCGGGGTGGGCCCTCGGATGGGCGCCGGGCACGGCTGCAGATTGCGGCTTACCGCCTCGGCCTCGAGGTCCTGCGGGCCACTCCTCCCCCTCCCACCCAGGCTTACTGCGCGGGCGGCCCCGGAGGCGGCGGCCCTGGCGGCGACCCCGACGGCGGCCCCGGCGGCAACAGCCCGAGGGCTCCAGGCAACGACGGCGGCCAACAGCCTGGCTCTGACGACGACGCCGACGCTTTCGACGACGACGCCCCCCCACCCCGCGGCGGCCCCCTCCCCGACGACCCCCCGACGGCGGCGGAACCTGCGGCGACGCCGCACTCGCCCGGCCCTCGGCGGCCCGACTCTCGCCAGTCCGCGGCGGCCCAGACCTTGACGGGGAGACGGCGGCCCTGCGACGAGGCGGCTTCGGGGTGCACGCGGCGGACCAGACGCCGGCAAACGCGCGACGACCCTGCCCCCTCCGCCCCCCCGCCCCCCATTGGGTCCCTGGTTGGTGGTGGTCTTGGTGGTCCGCGTGGTCGCGCCTGCGCCGATCCTGCCGGCGTGGAGCGCCCCCGCGCCCCCATTCGCTGACCGGCGGCCTCCTGGGTCGCACGCTGCTTTTCTTTCGCCGGCGCCGCCGCTCTAGGCGGCGACGCACCTGACTTGTTTTTCATTTTCCAAGCAGCCAGGAGCGAGGCATCCTGCTGCTCTTCAACTAGCGTGGGCCTCCTCGGCGCTTCTTGGGGCCATCTTGGAGGACATCGATCAAACGATGGGATGGTCGCAATTCGCGCCCCCCCCCCCCGAGAGGCCAACATGGGGTCAACGCCTAGGTAAAACCGATGATTTGGCTTCCTCGCCGAGGCCGTTTTGGGCGCCCTGGCACCTCGCAAAACCTCCCGGGACCATAATTGCCTCCAGGAGGACCGCCTTCTTCCACGCCCACCTTTTGGACGCCCCCGAACCTCCGACTTCCATGGGTGGTCGCTATGGAAGGGGGGTCCTGAGCGCAGCAGGCCCTATAGACCCTGGGGTTTTTCCTTGGGCCGGCCATTCATCCCGCGCCTTTGGCGGTTGCAGTGGCCGAGAAAGGCCCCGCGGGCCAGCAAAGATGGAAAACGTTGAGACACCATCGTTGCAATTTTTTCACTGCGGTTTTTTGTTCGTCCCTTGTCGGGCCCAAGGGGTTTTCACAGACTGATCCGGCTCGAAAAAAGGCACAGAAAGATGGGGTCCTGGGCTCTACTCGTGTTTTTGTGCCAACCATCCTGTGGTGTTTGGATTTCGTTTTGATGAGACGGTCCCCGCGTTCTTCCTCCCTCCTTCCTTCCCCCCCCTCCTCCCCCACCTCCCTCCCCCTTGCGTTTCACCGACCCAGTACAGCGCTTCGTTGCTTCACCCACCCAGTACAGCGTCTCGTGGCCCCACTGGAAGCTCCACCGAAGCCCCCGGTTGGACCGTCCGCATGCGTTCCGAAATCTTAATTTGGCATTTTCACCCACCCAGCACAGCGCTCCGTGGCCCCATCGGGATCTCCACCGAAGCCCCCCGTGCCACTGCCGCGTGCGCCCCAGAAGCCTAATTTGGATTTTCGCCCACACAGTACAGCGCTTCGTGGCCCCATCGGGAGCTCCACCAAAACCCCCAGTGCCACCGTCCGCGTGCGTTCCGAAAACCAAAATTGGCATTTTCACTTCAGTGCAGCGTTCCGTGGCCCCATAGGCAGCTCCACCGAAACCCCCAGTGCCACCGTCCGCGTGCGTCCTGGAAGCTCAATTTGACATTTTCACCCACCCAGTACAGCGCTTCGTGGCCCCATCGGGATCTCCACCGAAGCCCCCAATGGGACAGACCGCGTGCGTCCCGGAAAGCCAATTTGGCATTTTCACCAAACCAGTACAGCGCTTCGTGGCCCCATAGGGAGCTCTTCCGAGGCCCCCAGTGGGACCAGACCGTCCGCATGCGCCACGGAAGCCCAATGTGGCATTTTTACCACCCGAAATGCCCATTTCGGCATTTTCAACCCCCACTGCAACGTTTCGCGGTATCATAAGGAGCTCCACCGAAGCTCCCAGTGCCACCGTCCGCGTGCTTCCCGAAATCCCACTTCGGCATTTTCATCCACCCAGTACAGCACTTCGGAGCACCTATCACCCTGGGAGGGCTTGGATCCAATCTACTTGATCCGTCCTCCTACTTCATGTCGCTGCCTATTTCCGACCAACGTGTCTCCATACTTTGATTTCCCGTGGAATCGGCGAACCAATACGTAGAAAGGTTCATAAATCTACAGAGCATTATACTCATTCTTCGCAGTGGCGACGGACAAAACATTCGTTGGGTAACTCAATTGTGCAGTCGATCCTCTGCTCGATATCTGGGGTCGAACTCTCGGGGTCGAGGTTCGAGGTTTTTTTGTGTGTTCGTCCGCTCTAGGGGTTTTCCAGCCTCGGGGTGCGCTGCAGCAGTCCACCGTGCTTATGAATATGCGAGTTCGCCATCGGGGTCCCGCTACCGATGTATATTCGATGCATCGCCCATTGCAATTCGACGTCTCCCACCCTCAGCCCGCCCCCAACCCCAGTCGTTGCCCGTCTGTCCCGTGAGGTGTGTTCTGGAGGCCATGCGAGCCTTCCTGCAAAAGCTGGGGCGACCTTGGGCCAGTGTCACTTTCTGGCAATATCCGATGTGGGTTTTCTCGCTCGCCCCAGGGATTCCTATATTACCTAACAGCGAAGACTGATAGGTTTCTACTGGGGTCAAAAGAAAACATCTTGACTCCCCAGGGGGGTCTGGGCAGGTTCCGGGGGATGCCGGGGAAATCCGGGGACTCTCCATTCTCACTGCCAGGAGCCGCATTTTGACTGCCGAGACCCAACAAAACACCACTCCCAGGCCACATTTTGAATGCCTGGAGCCAACTGTAGGCCACTTCGTGTTCTTCGTGCTCCCAGAACACCACTCCCAGGCCACATGTTGAATGCCCGGAGCCAACTGTAGGCCACTCCGTGTTCCTCGTGTTCCCAGAACATTAGTCCCAGGCCACATTTTGAATGCCCGGAGCCAAATGTAGACCACTTCGTGTTCTTCGGGTTCCCAGAACACCATTCCCAGGCCAAATTTGGAATGACCGGGGCCAACTGTAGGCCACTTCGTGTTCTTCGTGTTCCCAGAACATTATTCCTGTACCATATTTTGATTGCCCGGAGCCAACTGTGGGCCACTTCGTGATCTTTGTGTTCCCAGAACACCAGTCCTGTGCCATATTTTGAATGCCCGAACTGAGGCAGGCCGAGGCCGAGGCAGGCTGAGGCCGAGGCAGGCTGAGGCTGAGGCTGAGGCACGCCGAGGCAGGCTGAGGCTGAGGCTGAGGCAGGCTGAGGCTGAGGCAGGCTGAGGCTGAGGCCGAGGCAGGCTCAGGCCGAGAGAGGCTGACGCTGAGGCTGAGGCAGGCTGAGGCTGACGCAGGCTGAGGCTGAGGCTGACGCGCGCTGAGGCCGAGGCAGGCTGAGGCTGAGGCAGGCTGAGGCTGAGGCCGAGGCAGGCTGAGGCTGAGGCCGAGGCAAGCCGAGGCAGGCTGAGGCTGAGGCTGATGCTGAGGCTGAGCTGAGGCAGGCTGAGGCTGAGACAGGCTGAGGCTGAGGCTGAGGCAGGCTGAGGCTGAGGCAGGCTGAGGCTGAGACCGAGGCAGGCTCAGGCCGAGACAGGCTGAGACTGAGGCTGAGGCTGAGACTGAGGCTGAGGATGAGGATGAGGCCAAGGCAGGCCGAAGCTGAGACAAGGTGAGGCTGAATGGGGGGGGGAAGGGGGGGGGGGAGGAGGGGAGGCTGAGGCATGCTGAGGCCGAGGCATGCTGAGGCCGAGGCAGGCTGAGGCTGAGGCTGAGGCAAGCCGAGGCAGGCTGAGGCTGAGGCTGAGGCTGAGGCAGGCTGAGGCTGAGGCTGACGCAGGCTGAGGCCGAGGCAGACTGAGGCTGAGGCTGAGGCAGGCTGAGGCTGATGCTGAGGCAGGCTGAGGCTGAGGCCGAGGCAAGCCGAGGCAGGCTGAGGCTGAGGCTGAAACTGAGGCAGGTTGAGGCATCCGTAGGAATCCACAGGAATCCTTAGGAATCCTTAGGAATCCCTAGGAATCCGTAGGCATCCTTAGGAGTCCGTAGGCACAGTTAAGCATCCTCAGGTATCCTTAGGAATCCTTATGATTCTTCAGGAATCCTTAGGAATCCCTAGGAATCCCTAGGAATCAGGATTCCTAAGGATTCCTAAGGATTCTCATGAATTCTTAAGGATGCCTAAGGATGCCTTAGGAATCCGTAGGAATCCTTAGGATTCCATTGGATCCTAAGGCCGTTGCCACTGCGACTGTCATTGCGAATGCGACTGCGACTGCGAGAACAGCAGAATTCTACAACTGGATTCTCACCTGAATCTTACGGGGAATGCTTCCAGATATGCTTATGCACATCGCTGTTAGGTTGCTTTGCCGGGATACTTTTTTTTACCAGCGCAGAGAAGTCGCCCCGTGGCGAAGGAGATGCAGGAGAAAGCAGAAAGGGGGGAGAGGGGAAGGAGGAGAAGCAGCAGCAACAGCAAACAGTGCGTGCGCGCGGGCGCGGCCGGCGGCAGGCGCCCGCCGCCCGTGCCCCGGCTCAACGGGGCGTGCACCCCGTCCCAGGGATTTCTGCACACCCGTTCCATGCGCGTTCTTTTGTCTCGTCCGCGGCGCTCGCGTTGGATTGGCGACGTGAGCTGAGGCGTGGGCATCAGGGTGCAGGATGTGGCAGTCGGAGGATGAGGTGGAGGACGACGAGGGGGAGGGGCAGGAGGAAGAGGAATGGGTGCAGGAGGAGGGGCAGGAGGAGGGGCAGGAGGAGGAGGAGGTGGAGGAGGAGCACGATCACGAGCACGAGAAGCGAGAAGTAGGAGCCCGAAGGGGAAGGAGCAGTACCCGAAGAGGCATGTGGTGGAGGAGGCCTGTAGAAGGAGGATCATGAGGCGGGGGGCGCAGCGTAAGGAGAAGGAGGAGGAAGAGGAGGAGGAGGAGGAGGAGGAGGAGGAGGAGGAGGAGCAGGGGCAGGAGGAGCAGGAGGAGCAGGAGGACGAGGCGAAGGTGGAGTAGGAGGACGACAGGGAAGAGGAGGGAGCGCAGGATGCGGAGGAGATGGCGGACGTGCGGCATAACCCCGGGCGGAGCCGGCGGAGGCGGCGGCCTCGGACACGCGCGCGGGCAGATCGGGAAAAGCGCTCACGCGCGAGGCCACGGCGCAGCTCCGCAGACAAAGCGCTGGCAAGAACGCCAGACGCCTGCCGGGCCGTGTCTCCCCGCGGAGGAGGAGGACCACGATTACACGCCGGTCGTTGAACGTAGGTATTTTGTTTGATTCCCAGATCCAAATCTAGTTCAAGCGCCTTCCTACTTTAAGAATCGGCATGCTTTTGCTGTGTTTTGTTATCCGTAAGGGCTTCACCCCCTGCCGCCAGCCCCCTCTCTCGGAGAATGGGCCATAGAAGAGCGAAGTCATGAGGCTTTGGCTTTGCCGAGAAGCAGTGTCGGGACCTATTTCTTTTTCGACCCTGACCCTGCCGATATGCGTGAGGGGTGCCGCCGAATTTCAGACATGTGGCAAATCCTTTTGTTTTTGGACCCTGATCCTACGGATCTGCGTGAAGGGTGCCACCGAATTTGAGAAATGTGGCAAATCCCGTATGTTTTTGGACCCTGACCCCGCCTATCTGCGTGAGGGGCGCCACCGAATTTCAGAAATGGGGCAAATCCTTCGTGTGTTTGGACCCTGACCCCACCGATCTGCGTGAGGGGTGCCACCGAATTTCAAAAATGCAGAAAATCCGTTGTGTTGTTGGACCCTGACCCCGCCGATCTGCGTGAGGCGTGCCAGGAAATTTCAGATATGTGACGAATTCCTAGTGTTCTTGGACCCTGACCCCGCCGACCTGCGTGAGGCGTGCCAGGAAATTTCAGAAATTTAGCAAATCCCTTCTGTACTTGGACTCTGACCCCGCCGATCTGCGTGAGGGGTGCCACCATGCAGAAAATCCGCTGTGTTTTTAGACCCTGACCCCGCCGATCTGCGTGAGGGGTGCCAGCGAACTTTAAACATGCGGAAAATCCCATGTGTTCTTGGACCCTGACCCCACCGATCTGCGTGAGGGGTGCCACCGAATTTCAAAAATGCAGAAAATCCGTTGTGTTGTTGGACCCTGACCCCGCCGATCTGCGTGAGGCGTGCCAGGAAATTTCAGATATGTGACGAATTCCTAGTGTTCTTGGACCCTGACCCCGCCGACCTGCGTGAGGCGTGCCAGGAAATTTCAGAAATTTAGCAAATCCCTTCTGTACTTGGACTCTGACCCCGCCGATCTGCGTGAGGGGTGCCACCATGCAGAAAATCCGCTGTGTTTTTAGACCCTGACCCCGCCGATCTGCGTGAGGGGTGCCAGCGAACTTTAAACATGCGGAAAATCCCATGTGTTCTTGGACCCTGACCCCGCCGATCTGCGTGAGGGGTGCCACCGAATTTGAGAAATGTGGTAAATCCCATGTGTTTTTGTACCCTGACCCCGCCGATCTGCGTGAGGGGTGCCACCGAATTTGAGAAATGTGGTACATCCCATGCGTTTTTGGACCCTGGGCCCGCCGATCTGGGCGAGGGTTACCACCAAATTTCAGAAATGTGGCAAATCCCCTTGTGCATTTGGACCCTGACCCCGCCGATCTGCGTGAGGGGTGTCAATTTTTACCCCCCCAGGAATTCTGAGAACCCTCCTGGGGGGTGCTAACCAGGGCGGTTTTCGGCTCCCCCCCTCTCGCGGACAGTAACAATTTACAGTAGGAAGAAGAAAGCAGTATTGTAACAATGGAAACTGGAAACTGGAACTGGTGCAGGGAGCAGCAAGCTTAACCCTCGCAGCCTGATGGCCCCGCAAGGGGGCCGGCGGATTCTCTGGGAGGGCATGGCCCCAATCTACTATATCCGCCTTCCTACTTTATGTTTTTACCTACTTCTTCCTACCGACGTGTAGGATCGCAGGCAATTTCTCGCCCCCAGCCCTAGGCATTACCACAAGAAATCAAGCCGCTTAGAACAATCAGGGGAACCCGGGGATACAACGCCCCAGGAGGGCTGATCGTACGCACCCCTATCGAGGATGGACGCCCCCCTGTCCTGTATCTCCGAGTTTGGCTCCAATTTCATGGTCCATTCGAATCCCCATGAAGCCTGGGATAGGGGTTGACATATCAGCCATTAGAGAAGGCGGACCTATCCATCCTCGCTTCTCCCCCGTCCTCCCTATGGTAGTGGTGGTGGCAAACTTGTCCGTCATTCCCCCCGCGAGTTTGGGCACCTGATTGCTTCCCGCATTTTGTTATGTTGATTGTGCGTTTGCTCATGCGTGCTTTGACATCTTCTCTGTCATGCGGGCGCTAAGGAACCCCCCTGCGCTGCACCCTTCGGTGCTACGCGCGCAGAGCAAGCTGCTGATTGCTTGATTGGCCAAGACGAAAGAAATTGCGTTCGAGGATAGTTTGTTTTTCATTTCTTGGGTCCCACGAGGCCTCCAGAGGCTTGCGGAGGCCTCCAGGGACATCGAGCATGCAGGAGATTGATTTGCTGAGTGGATGAGTGCGACGCTCGATTCCCCAATTTGGTGAGGCAGTGCTAAGAATAATACCAATCGTTCATAAGGCTCTCGGAGTATTCTGGAGCGCTCTGGAACGGACGCGGCGCCCGAGGCATCCTCCAATCCCGCCGGCCCTCAGATATTTCGAGCTATGTCTGCCCGACCTGAATCAAGGGGCTTTCACTTTTCCGCCCAACCCCCAACAGTGGTAGGCGAATGTGATAACTTCCGCTTTCCATTTTGTCGACAAATCGGGGACAGGAAAATGACGATTATGCTTGCAATCGTCACGGCGCAGAGTGCAATCGACACAAGTTGAGGTATGTTCGCGAGCATTGCAGCATATGTCAGTCAACAAAAGATGTGCACTGTTTCTTGTTGCGAAGGCGTGCCCTCTGTACACTATGTTCAATGTGTGCACCGCGTGCAAACTACACACTATGTACAGTAAGTGCATACCTTATGTAGTGGATGTAGGTGCGGTTCCCGAAATAGAAGGTTTGACTGTGTCGAAATCGGACTTTGGCTTCTGGCTGTCATGTCGTCACGAAGCCTCGGTGGGGATCGCTTGCACAAGTGTGATTCTGAACGATTGTGCTGCGATAGCCTGTTTGCTTCCTGCCGCAGAGCCATGTCCACAGAAGTCCGTGCTAAAGTTGAATCAGACGACCCCCACTCCGGCACTCCGGCACGAGCTGGTCGCAGCAGCAGCAGTGGAAAAACAAACCATGTTGTTTACATCGTTGCTCATCGAGGGGCATGGCGCGGAACGGCCCCCCGCACGCGCTAGGACGCAAAGCTGTTCTCGAACAGGGCCGCCGCGCTCACGAAGCTGCTCGCGTGCGGGGCTCGGCGGCGGCGGGCGCGCTCGGCGGCCGCGCCCCGGCGGCGAGCACCCCTCGTGCTCGAGAGGTGCACCGCATCGGCGGCGCGCCCGGATGGGGCAGGCGAGAGGGGGCGGGCCTTCTCAGAAGGCTCGGAAGGCCTTTCTGAGCCCTCCCCGAAGACACAGAAAGCTTCTCAGAAGGCCAGGGGGCTGCTGAGAAGCCTCGCCACCTTTGAGGAGGCCGTCTCCCTCTCACCCCCCCCAGGCGCGCCGCCGTCAAGAGATGCACCTTATGTGGTGCCATCAATCTGTGCCTCCCAGATAGGGTCGAAGCAGATGGGGTTCGGAGGATGGCACCGCATCGCCTATGCATCGGCGATGCGGCACGACATGGAGCCTGACTGTCTCCACTCCGACGCCACCGCTGCATCGCCGATGCATCGGCGATGCATCGCCACCGACGTCGCGGATGCATCGCCGATGCATCGGTAATGCATCGGCAATACGGCGCGATCTTTCTGACCCCATTTACTCAAACTCCATTTAGGAGGCCGCTAAAGGTGCACCTTCTGTGCACCTTCGGTGCCTTGAAGGGGCCACCTGACGCTCCTTCGAGACAGCTGATCCGTTGTGGATAACAGGCGTGACCAGGTGGAAGGGAGGGGTGGAGTGGGCCGGTTACATCACGGCGCGCGCCGGCGCCGTCTTGGAATCCTTATCACAGACGGCCTCGGCGCGGATCGTGACGTGACCAGGGGTGGGGGAGGGCTGGGCTGGGCCAGTCACGGACGTTGCGAATCATGTGAGAAGAAGTTGGCTCCAGGTACACGAATGGCCGACGTTTCTTCTCCCCCCCGTTAATCGCCGACCCCTTACGCGACGCCCAAGCCGACCCCCTCGCGTCGTGAGCAGAACCTCTGACGGAAGGACTTGGTCATCTTCAGCTCCTCACGCCTCTGCCGGTCGCGAGGCCGTCCGAGAACTGCTCGGCCTGTCTATTTCTGTTGTCGCTCCTGAGGCAGGGGTCCAAGACTTCAGTCGGGCACGTCCCTGTACAGGAGGAAATTGCAAAAGTGATCAGAGGACGATTTTTTGTGTGTGACTATGTTTGACTGCTTTTGAATATTGTTCGACTATTTTCATTTTTTGCTCACGTCCGCCTGTAGGAGGACATGCCCGACCTAGTCCAGACTTCCGTCGTCATTAAGGGAATCGGTCGTAGACCCGTTGCCTTCCCCAGCACCAAATTCTGTAACGGTTTGGGGGCCCGTCGAGGGCCCCAAGGTCTGAGCATGGAGAAACCTCCAGGACCCCATTGTGCTTAATTGTCCCCCTTTCTGACGATAACGATAATTAACGGGAGTTACCATTTCTGTGGGGGAGGGGGGATGAGGGGTTTGGTAACGTCACGACTTGCGCCAGTGCCGTCTTTGTCCCAGACGGTGCCCGCTCGAAGGGGGCGCGCCGACCCGTTGACAGGTGGTATCGCGAAGACTCGATATGAGAAGCGAGCGCTCTTCTCCAGGACCCGCTTCGTTCATGCCCAGGTGCGGCAGAGCTCACGGGCTTCCCCTTCCTCCCTCCTGTTCCTCCTCGGCCTCCCCTTTCGTCGGGCGGAGGGAGGGAGGAGGGAGAGGAAGGAGGAGGATCGGGGTGGGGGGGCATGGGGCATGAGGCCCCGCTCCCGCCAACAAGAGTCGCTTCCCCCCGATGGGGAGGGCGAGGGGGAGGGCGAGGGCGAGGGCGCGGGCGAGGGCGAGGGCGAGGGATAGTAATGGTGCCCCGAACCAAAACATAAACCGCGCACTGAAAAACTCAGGTCGTCGGCGGCGAGCGAAGGGGGGAAGTGAGAAGGATAATGCCTTCTCAGAATGCGGCGGGACTCAGAAGCCCTCGCGCCTTCTGGGAGGTGTTTTTTTCTTGGAAGGCTTTGAAATCTTCTCAAGCGTCCGGGTGACTTCCGAGCCATCTGAGAAAGCCCTCCCTTCCTCACTTCGTCGGGGATGCAATTCGATGTGGAGCCCGACTTTCATCACGCCGACGGCGCCGATGCATCGCGGACGTCGCCGGTGCATCGCCAATGCATCGGCGATGCATCGGCGATGCTGTGCGATAGGCCTCTAGTGTCGCAGGGCAGTGTACCAGTGTCCCAGAGATCAGGAGCGAAAGAAGGACGCACACGTACATGAACCCACGTTGGTTTCGAGAGTGTGCATTGCGATAACGATCGTGGAACGCGTCTGGTCTCGCGGACTGGGGGGCCGTACTCGCCGGTCGTTGAAGGTAAAAGAAGGTGTTTTTGACTGTCCTTCTTTCCTCTTCTTCATTGGGCCGGCGGAAGCCCAATTTACTCTCAACTCCTTCCTACTTCGTGTTTCTACCCACTTGATCCGACAGACGGGTGTACTATGTGTGCGTCGACCTCCCAGGGGCGACGCGCGCGACGAAACATCTCATAGTATGAGCTCCGCGGCGGGCGCTATCTGGCCGTACCACTCCGGAAACGGTATATTACAACATGCTTGGACACACTGGGCGCCGTGACGTCCGTAGACACTTTCGGGGTGGATGTGTCTATGGACAACGTGGCCGTTGCGTTCGGCGCGGTGCCAGGTCGGAGAACGGGTAGATCTGCCTACGGTATATTCCTGCTCTAGAGCAGGTCCCACATGGTCCTCCAACGCCCATTTCTGCCGGGGCGCCGGGGCAGGTCGGCTGGGCCAGCCTGGAGAGCCCGCCCGGCAATGTCCCAGTGTGCCGAATCCTTGGGACCGTCGGCACCAAAGGTGCCGTTGGAGTAGATGGGGTCGGAGGATCGCGCCGTATCGCCGATGCATCGGCGATGCGGCTCGATGTGGGGCCCGCTTTTCTCAACGCCGATGTCGCCGGTGCATCGCCGACCTGACCAGTGCATCGCCAGTGCATCGCCGATGCATCGGCGATGCGGCGCGATCCTCCGACCCCGTCCACTCGGACCCCATCCAGGAGGCCTCTAAATCAGGGGGCCTCAGGCTGGGGCGTGTGCGCGTCCTTCGGCTGCGAGGTGTCGCACAGGGGGTCCGCCAAGGCTTGAGTCGGACATGCGCCTCTACAGGAGGAATGTTCAGAAATAGCCTAAAAGTCGTATGGGGACAAGATTTCCACAATTTGTTCTGATTAGGTTCAAACATTTTGAACATGTTTTTTTTCGTGCAAGATTCGCCTGTAGGGGGACATGCCCGACCCAAGACCTGAGCCAAGGCGGTCCTGCGTCCGTCCCGAGCACAGGGGGGCCTCGCGCTGGCCCTCGGCCCCGCGGCGGGCCTGCGCTGCCCGAGGTACCCAGACGCGCTGCGGGACCTCGACGAGTGCATCAAGCTGGAGGGGAGGGGCGGACTCGGACCACTGCTCGGGGGCGGCAGAGAGGGGGGTGATGACTAGGGGGGTGGATATCATGGCGGGGGCCATGATATTTCCCCAGATTTCATGGCGCCTCTTCTTGTTTCATTACGTCCCTGGCCCCCCCGCTCGGCCGCGCACATGCCGCCGGTCATGATTTGCACCCCCCCCTCTCGGACACCCTCCTTTTGGCCGCTCCCGAACTGCAGAAGCCTGTGATGACGAGGATGAGCTGCACTGCACGGAGATGGTCTTCGAAGCGGCCCGGGTCGGATCTGTTCGAGCACCGCCTGCTACCGCGATGGCCCGGCACACGCAGAATATGATGATGGCGCTGCGTTCACGCAGCGCAGCTGAGAGCCCAAATGGTCACGGAGACTGCAGGTCCTCAGTCCGGTCGTATCGGCTTCGTCGCAGGAGACCTGTTCCCAAGGGGACAGCGATGATGCGGGCTATTCAAGCAGTGGCGAGGCGCCCTGGGTTGCCTATAGGCCCACCCCAGAATGTTCTGAGAGCCTTCGGTGGATTGCACGGAATGGTCTTAGAACATTTCTGGCGGAGACCGTACCCGCTTGACACCTCCGCGCTGTGTACTCAGAACGTTGTTCAGGATCATGCCAGGACGGCTGGCCCCTGCTCATGTCGTCGGGGCCGCCCGCCCCCCCCCAGATCAGCTGACCTTGCTGGCGGTCGCGCAGGTCCGATGGGGGCGCGCAGTGTTGGTGCGCGCGGGCGTACGTGGGGCTGCCCAGAGCGAGAAACATGAGGTCATCGGCCAGCACCTCCTCCCCCCCCTCACCGAATAACTCGAGGCCTCGCCGGAAAGCAGACAACGTCGTCGAAGGAGGAGGGACTGCAAGGGTGTCCGCGGTCCGGTCGGTTCGGCTCCGGCGCAGTCGGTTGCATTCGGTCGGGCCGGCAGTTCGATCGGCTGTTGTGCCGTTGTTGCGCTGCTGTGCCCTACGGCATAAGCCTGAACTTTCGGAAGTCCTCGCTGATCTTTGGTGTTCGGCGCTGGACAGCCCCTCCCTGGCGCGCTCCGCGCGCCAATGGCGGCGGGGCGGCGGAGTCGCCGCCACGGGGATCCAGCGTCGATCCGAGAAATCCGCGCGGACTTCTGAAAGTTCATGCACTTGTTGTTATTTGTTCCCCCATTCTAGGCTGCTTGCGTCAGCGTCACCCCAACATGCGAAGACTTCGTGTGCGTCGCCCCCCAAGCGTCGACGCGCTCGCCGAGAAATCTTTTAGCACGAGCTCCCCGGCGGTCTCTTTCTGGCCATACCAGTCGGGCAGCTGTGTACTACAATTTGGTTGCACCATATGTTCGGATCGGGCGCACGCCTCCAAGGAGGACTTGTTGTTAGAGGCCTACTAGACGGGGTCTGAGTAGATGGTGTCGAAGGATCGTGCCGCATCGCCAATGCATCGCCGATGTATCGGCCTTGCATCGGCGATGCATCGGCGACGCTGGCGCGGGGAAACGGGCTCCACATCGAGCCGCCTCGTCGATGCATCGGCGATCTGGTGCGATCTTCCGACCCCATCTACTCGGAACCCATCTAGGAGGCCTACAGTGGAGATCCATACCAAGAAACACCCTGCTGGTCTCCATGGTGCCCTGGGTTTCTTGGGTTTCGATGGTTTTGCTGTAGAACGCGTCACGTGCACACACCACAAATCAGTGGAAGCCCTAGGCTCTCAGGTGTAGGTTTCTTGTCGAGCCCTGGCTGAAGAATTTTACGAGTATGTCTTTGTGCGCCCCATCGCGGCCTGTCGGGTTCGGTTCCGGTTCTGGTCCCGCTGCCGTTGCAGCCCTCTTCTCGGTGGGAGGAGCAGAGGGCTTTCGAGGGCAGGGTGCCCTCCGAGGCCGTTCGCCGCTCTCGATGTCCGGGCCCAGCGGGGCACAGCATACACGAGTTCCAGGATTCCCCATTTGTTTGACAGATTTTCTAGATTTCCGTCTTCCTCTCCACATCCTTTAGCCCCTAGTTTTCCACATTCTCACGGGCATCGACGTATGTGCCAATTGTTCCCTCATGATGCGGCCCGTAGCCGTCAGACAACGGCTCGGGACGAACCGGGGGCCCCGAAGCGGTGTGGTGACCACACCGCGCTGTGAGTAAGTAGTCCTTCAATTCTCGCCTCCTCCTCCTCCTCGCTCCTCCTCCTCCTCCTCTTCCTCTCCTTCTCCTCATCCTCCCCCTCCTCCACCTCCTCCTCTTCCCCCTCTCTCGCCTCCCGTCTCGGGCCGCCCTTCTCTCGCCGCCGTGGCCCTCGGGCGAGGGATCTCAGCGGGCGAGGAGGGGCATACTTCGGAGACGCGCAAAACTGCATGGACAATGCGAAACATAGTATCAATAATAAGGAACCCATACAACTATATGAAAATAGTAATACAATACGTACAAAAATATGAACATAGTAATAGTCATAAGGGCTACAATCGTAGTATTACTTCCATATTCAGCACATCACTATGGTTATTAGAACTCATACGGCTACTAATGCGACTAAGAATACACGTTCGGAGCTTCGCGCAGATTTCTTGGATCGGCGTTTGGGCCGCCCTGGCAGCGCCTACGGCGCCGTCCCTGTTGCGCTCCGCGCGCTAGGAGGGGGGGTTCCGCGCAGCTCCAAAAGTGCATGCCAGTGCAGATTTGCTCTTCCTCTGCCCGAGCGGCGTGGTGACCACACCGCGTGGTGAGTCGGTGGGGGTTCGGGATCACCGCACGGTTTCGGGACTCGGGCCGGACGCCCAGGGCGACCAGGGAGGAGAAGAAGGAGGAGGAGGAGGACGGAGTAGGATGGAGGAGGCAGAGGAGGAGGGGAGGAGGCGGTGGAGGAGGAGGCGGAGGAGACCTCCGAGGTCCCAAGACCGCGCGGTGGGGAGGGCCCAGGGGTTTTGGGAGCCGCGCCTCGGCGGCGCACCCGGGGGGGGAGGCAGAGGCGGCGGTCCCCCCCTCAGCAAGCGGAGGAGGCCTCCGTACTGCCTGCTGTGGGATGCTCCTCTGGGCCTTCTCCGAAGCCACAGGGAAACGCCTTTGCCGCTGCTTCCTCCTCCTCCTCCTCCTCCCCCTCCTCCTCCTTTTCCTCCTCCCCCATCCTCCTCGTCCTCCTGCGCCTCCTTCTCCTCCCTCCCCCTCCCACCCCCCCTCCTGCTCTTCCTCCTTTTCCTCATCCTCCTCCTGATAATGCTTGCCCCCTCGCGCCTCCCCAAACCGGCACGCCGCCGACCTGGGCTCAAGGACCAGTTTCCGCCAGGCCCATTTTATGGGCCTATCTCGATCAGTCAGGTCGGATTGGATATGAACTCCAGCCAGCCCGGTCCGATGCGATCCCAATATATCCCGGCGTCGCCGAGTCATCGTGGATGCATGGGCGATTCGGTGCGATCCTCCGACCCCCTCTGCTTCGATCCCATCTGAGCGACCATCAGGACAATGTTCTCCTGGGCCTGAAACTTTTTTTTCTTCATATCATCCCAGCATTAGCGATGGGACCCTCTGCGCCGACATTCGCGAGTAAGGTCGCGCGTAAGCGCCGTCGTTTCCAATGTGGCGTTCCGTGCTGGCGGCCCGCGTAAGCCACCGCGTGAGGTCGCTATGCCATGACGAGTAAGACAAGTTTCCCCGTCGCCCATACGCGCGACGCAAAACATCTGGTTTGATTGCGCGGACATTCGCGCCCGCGCAAGGCCGCGCGGAGGCGACCTCGTTTCCGATGTGGCGTGCCGCGCCAGCGGCCCGCGTAAGCCACCGCGTAAGGTCGCTATGTCATCTCTCGTAAGACCCGTTAATTTTCCGTCGCTCATATGTCGTCCCCCTTACGCCCCCCCATGTGCTCGTGCTCTCCCCCACGCGTTCCTCCGGATGCATGGCCTCTACTTGCCTGGGGTCTGCTCCCCGAGCAGTCGTGGGCAGCCTGGGGCCAGTCGCGCGCCGCGCGCCCGCGCCGGGCAGGACCCGACCTTCGTCAAGGCTTACTCCAGGATCTTGCGCCCGCCGCCGCGCGGGGATCGGGGGATCGGCTCAGGGGACGAACTTTCGGGTTCGAGGTTCGAGGTTGTTGACGTTTTCGTCCGCCTTCGGCGATGTTCAAGCCTCGGGGTGCGCTCCAGCAGCTGCGCCTCGCCGAGGGTCCTGGGGCTACCCGGATCGTCCCGAACGGCCGCCGGATAGCCGAGTTATGGCCCGAAAACAGGGGGCAACGTCAGGGGGGGCATGGGCTCAGGGGAGGACGGATCGACCCCAAATCGCCCATTCATTTCCGGTATGGGGCCCGATAGCCTGCCCCGCCCAGGAACGTGCGGATTCGCCATCGGGGGTCTATCGCCAGTCTATCGGCGGTGCGTCGCGGGTTCCAGCCCGATGTTCCTCCCCCCTGTGCTTCCCCCCGAGCGCTTCCCCTCGGACCTCTGGCGTGTGGCTTCCTGGGGGCCTGGGTGGGCCCAGGCCCAGCCCACGCATGCAGGCTGCCGCTCGCACCGCGCGCAGAGGTCGGCAAGTCGTGCACCAAAGGCCCCCCGCTTAGAGTCTTAGCGGCACTCTTGCAGGCATCTGGTAGGGGTGGGCGCTGCGAAACGGAGGGGTACGACATCTGCTGCACGCACCTGGCTTCGGCCTCGCCGCCGGGCTCTTTCGTCAAGACCTCTGGTGCCGGGAGGCGCCTGGAAGACCAGCCACCTGGGTCGAGTCGCTAACCCCCCCTTTGAATCGCCCCTTTCGTCCGACCCGAAAAGGTGTTCGTAGCCCACCGTGCCCCCAGCTTGTCGAGGCTTCTGTCAGTGCCGAGTCCTCCCGAGGCCACCCGGGCCTCTTCTGGAGGTGGGGACAACCCGGGCCAGGGCCACCTTTGACAACCCCTTTTCAGGGGAGCGGGCCTTGCTGACGCCTATCGTCGCCCGTCGCTGCGTCTGCCCAGTCATGGCAATCATGTCGAGGGGAGGACCGATCTCCAGCGGAGGGCAAACGTATCAGCGTGAGTGTCCATGCTCTCGTGGTCTGGACTCCGAGGCGTTCTCTCATGGATTTCCGTGGGTGTGCGATCCTACGGGCACGTTCCGCGCGGGCCACCCGCGCAAATCCGCTCTGATCGGCGGCGAGCGAGGGGGGCAAGTGAGGAGGGGCGGGCCTTCTCAGAAGCCCGGGAAGTAAGTTCTCGAAGCCTTCCCCGAAGACAGAAGGCGCGAGGACTTTGAGAAGACCCGCCGCCGTCCGAGAAAGCCTTCTCCTTCTCGCCCCCATCCCCCCTCGCTGCGCTCGCCGCCGCTCTGAGTCCATGGGGTCGTGGCCGACGAGACTGGGCCCCTTAGGCGTTGTCGTTGGCCCCCGCCCGCCAGAGGCCCCTGGAGGCCTCCAGGTTCCTTGCCTCGGGACGCCTCCGGGGACCTCCAGAGACCTCTGGCTGGGTACGCCGGTTACGGTCAGAATGGCCCTGAAAGATCTTATGGTCCAACCGCGGTAAAAGATCGAGGTCGGTTCGGCGAGGGTGCCCTAATGTCCTTCGATGATCTTGTGCATCCTGAGGGAGGTCACCCTCGAAGGTTCTTCATTTCGGGCCGGCGGAGGATCTCATGTTCTTGATGGATGCTCTTCTTTCTTAGGTCTGACCGTATGAGGATTTCACGCGGGAGTCTTCTCTTCTGGTCGACTTTGCGCCATTGTTTCGCGGCTTCCGTCCTCCGCTCATCTTTCTCGCGGGCTTGGTGAACTGCGCTGATGTGGCGTTCTTAGACACCCTGCAAGGATCTGTTCAGGTTCGCGCGTTGCTTGCGCACATCAATCTAGGACCTGAACGCTCCGTTCCACCGTCATGGTGATCTGAATTGTAATTGTCATACTTCGCACGAAGACTACATCGAGTTAGATCAAACATCCACCCAGCAACTACCCAAAGTAGACCCGACGTACACCCAGCACAAGCCCACGTAGACATCACACATACCCAGCACAAACCACACCGTAGATCCACCAAACGCCCAACATGTACCCCACGCATGGGTGGCGCGAAACTCCAAAACCTCGCGCGGAGCATTGTTATTCCTCTTGCTTCGCGGGGTGAACGTCTGGACGACGTACAGTCCAGTCATTGTAGGTACCCCTTGGAGCCTCTTGGGGGCCTCTTGGAGGCGTTTTGGGCAGTCTTGGGGCGCTCTTGCGTCGTCTGGCCCTTCGGAGGCCGTCTTGGGGGCCTCTCGGAGCTGCCTTGGGGCTCTCTTGGGGTCGTCATGGGCCGTTTTGAGGCTCTCTTGAGCCGTCTTGCGGGCCTCTTGGGGCCATCTTGGGGTGGTCGTGGGCCGTGTTGGTGGCCGCCATGGGCCCCAAAAATGCGAATACGCTAAAATTTTCCAGCAACCTTTGGAAACACCATGTGTTTGGCATCTGGAGGCGTTTTTTGAGGTCCTCTTGGGGCCCTCTGTAGCCGTCTTGGGGGCTAGTTTGGCCCTCTTAGGGGCCATCTTGGGCCGTCTGAGGGCTGTTGGGCCCCAAGGAAGCCCAAGAATCCAACATGCAGTGATTTTCAACGGGTTCGGGTTAGTCTTTTTGGGATTGACTGCAACGTGGGAACGGGTCGGCGACTCGGCGCGGGGGCTTGGGGGGGATTGAAGGGTGTTGCTGTGCCAATGGTAATTCTGACAATAGGTCGCAATTGGATTTATTTGGCGCATCGTGACTTGGCCCTGGCGTAACACACGCGTCATGTCGGACTGCCGCTTCGCGGAGTGCACGTCGGAGCGCGTTCAGATTGAGCGTTGGGTAGTTTGTCTTGCTCTTCTGCCGAGAGGTTCTGCCGTGTCCTTCTGCCAGCCCCAGGGCGCTGCCAGCGCCACGGAGGGCGGACGCGCCCCCCCACCCCGTTTTCAGCGATGTGACGAGCGTGCCAATGTCCACGAGTTCAATGAGCAGTCACGGTGTGTCAGCACAAGGCAACGCAACGCCAAGTTCAAATTCCGATGAGTATATCATCAACGCGGCATTCGCATACAATTCCGAGGGTTTCTCGGTGTTTCTTCTGGGCCGGTTGGGCACTTCTTCGGGCATCTTGGAAGCTTTTTGGGGACCCCTGGACGCCTCTTGGGGGCCCCTCTGGGGCCTCTTGGGAGCCTGTTGGGCCGTCTTGGCGCGCTCTTGAGCCGTCTGGCCCCTCGAGAGGCCGTATTGGTGGCCTCTCGGGGCTGCCTGATGGCTCTCTTGGGGTCCTCTTTGGCCGTCTTGGGGGTCTCTTGAGCCTTCCTGGGGCCTCTGTGGGCCATCTTGGGGCCTTCTTGGGCTGTTTTTAGGGCCCTTTAAAGCTGCATCGGGGCCATTTGAAAAGCTGCATGGGGCGTCACAGGCCCCCAAGGAAAGCGTGGGAGAGCGGGGGTGCACTCCCTGGGGGCTGTTCTCACGCACCCCTTGCCATCGACTGGCGCCCCCCCCTCGTGTCCCACGAGGTCGCGCATTTGGGCCGCCACACACCCCGTCATGATAACGTGGATTCCGCCCGATCTCCGAGGCCACGGCTTCCCGCCGCCGCGATCTCCGAGGCCACGGCTTCCCGCCGCCGCGCGCGACGCGACGCGACGCGACGCGACGCGGCCGCCGCCGCCTCCACGACGCCCCGGGGCCCTCGCCCGCCGCGGTGCCCAGGAAGGGCGCCGCCCACTTCTTCATGAAGGCGCCGCGCGCGCGCCGCTGGCCGCCGGGCGCTGCGCGCGGGGCGGGGGGGGGCGGGCCTCGCGGCGGCCCCTCAGGAGGGGAGGCCCCCTCGGAGGCCCTCGGACGCCCGCGTCTTCGGAGGACCTCGCGGAGGCCCTCGAAAGGCCTGCGCGGGCTTTCTGGGCTCCGAGGCCCGCGGAAGGCCCGCGAAATGAATGGAAATGCCCTCGGCGGCCGCGACAAGGGGAAGGATTTGGCGGGTCTCGAAGAATGGGCTGGCGCGCGCTCGCGGGCGGGGCGCGGCTGGTAGTTGAGAGGAGGACGAGATGGCAGTAGGAGAAGAGAGGAGAACAGGAGAGGACAGGAGAGGACAAGAGGAGAGGACAGGAGGAGAGGGGAGCAGAGGAAAAGAGGAGAGGAGAGGAGAAGAGGAGAGCCGAGGAGGAGAGGAGAGGAGAAGAGGAGAGGAGAGCAGAGGAGGAGACGAGTGCCCGAAGAGCAGGGAATCCAGAGGGCGGGAGCCCGGATCTTCCGAGTTCCCGGTTTTCGGGCGGGCTCTTTTTTGACAAAACCCGAACGCAGGAGTTCGGGGTGTCTGGCCCGCCCGCTGGGCGCGACCGTTTCCCCTCCTTCTCGTCTTCGTACTTCTCCTCCCCGTCGTTCTCGTCGTCATCGTCGTCATCATTCTCATCACCACCACCATCATCTTTATCATCAGCACTATCACCAACATCATGCTCCCAATCGTCATTGTCATCGTAACCGACGTCATCATCGTCAACAGCAGCATCATTTGTTTCATACTCGCCGCCATCCTACTCTCCTCGTCGTCATCATCGTCATTGTCATCGTCGTCGTTAGAGCCATCATCACCATCGTCGTCGTCACCATCGTCATTGCTATCATCGTCGTGAGCGCCATCACCAATGTCATACTCATAACCATCATCATCATCATCAGCAGCATCAGCATCCTCATCATTTTGTTTAGTGTTACTCGTATTACTGTATACTTATATATTCAGTAGTAGAATCATCGTCGTCGTCGTTTCGCAGTCTCATCATCGTCGTTATCGTCCTCATCGTGATCGCCACCACCCTCATCAGCAACATCGACATCATCAGCATCATCATCGTCGTCATCATCACCTCCATCATCCTTAGCAGCACCATCAGTGTCCCAATTGTCAGTATCGTCGCCATTGTCAGCGACAAACATATCATTATCAGCATAGCCGCCCGCGCCATCATCATCGTCGGCATCACCAGCAGCATCACCGGCGTCATCATCGTCATCACAATCGTCGTCATCAGCATCATCATCATCATCATTATCATGATCATCATCATCATCATCATCATCATCACCATCATCATCGTCAGCATCGTCATCATCATCAGCACCATCACCAGCAGCGCATCGTCGTCGTCATCGTCATCATCATCAGCATCATCACCAACACCATCAACATTACCATCACCATCATCACCATCATCATATTCATCATCGTCTTCGTCGTTATCATCAGCATCATCACCATCATCATCATCACCACCATCATCATCATCATCATCATCATCATCATCATCGTCATGCTCGTCGTCATCGGGGTTCTCGTCATGCTCCCAAGCAGTGTCATCGTCGTCGGCACCATCATCTAATGCATCATCATCATAACGACGTGTTCGTCATCGTCTGCAGTTTTATCACACTATCAGCGTCCTACGTGGATGCCAACAGCCGCCAGAAGCGTTCTACGGGGCCGCCAAAAGTCGCCTCAGGGGCCGCCAAGAGCGTCCTACGGGGCCGCCAAGAGTCGCCTCAGGGGCCGCGAAGACTGTCCTACGAGGCCGCCAAGAGCCTCCTACGGGGCCCCAAGCGCCTCTTGCGGGGCCGCCAAGAACCTGGTTCATTCAACTCAGGAGTTAGGGATTCTCGCCTCCGGATCCCACGGGAATCGGAAGAGGAGAAACCCTAAATTCCATTGTTTAGGGAATCAACCTCTGGTTTCCAGTGTTTTTCAGGGCCTCCTCCTCCCTCCGGCGCCTCCTCATCATCCTCCTCCCTGTACTCCTCCCTGTACTCCTCCCCCTCCTCCTCCTCCTCCTCCTCCTCCTCCTCCTCCTCCTCCTCCTCCTCCTCCTCCTCCTCCTCCCTGTCCTCCTACTTGTTTATTTCCCCATTTTCATCTCACCCTTCTCCTCCGCCTCTTTTCTTCTGTCTCCCCTCTCGTCGTCGTCCTCCTCTTCTTCCACCTGGCCCTTCCTCTCCCGTTGCTGTTTTTCCGTCGCCTGTTTCGATTTCTTCTTATCCTCTCCCTGTTCTCTTCCCTCTTGCCGGAGGCAGCCTGACTGCGTTGGATGGGGGCCTGGAGGTGTACGCCGCTTTTACGCCAAAAGAGTGGGTGCGCCGCGTTTGTGGCCGTGGGGAAGGGCCTGGCCAGGGTCGGCATAAGCGTCCAGCGCTGGCGCCCTTCTCGGGGCTGGTGGGGGCGCCCAGAATGAGCAGTCATCTTCATGCCTAGGCCTTCGACGGACGTGCGCGACGACAGAAGACGGGTCGACTGCGCGGACACTCGCGCGTAAGCTTCCCGCGTAATGTCGCGCGACCGCGCCTTCTTCTCCAAGTGGTGTGTCACCATGGCGGCCTGGGTACGCCACCACCGGCGTGTGTCAGGCTCGCTCTTTCCGTGGCCAACATGCGTTTTCTGTGTGGCGTCTGTCGGCTTTCGGGAGCCGTGCCGGGGCCCTGGGGCCGTCAAGAACCTGCTCGGGTTCACGCGTGCGTCCCCGAGGAAAGGGTCGGGAGGCCCTGGAGGCTCTGGGGGGCCGCGTGTGTCGAGAGGCACGGGGGGGTTGGGTCAGGCCCCCGCGCGGCCGCGCAGGAGTACAACCAGGCGATCAAGGCCTACGAGCAGGGCGCGCGCACCGCGCCACGCCCGTGCCCCGCCCGCCACGCCTCGGGGGGGCGGGGGTTCGTGAGGGTCAACGAGGGCGCCCTCGAGGTTCGGCTCCGATTCTTCCTGATCCTCCTCCTCTCCCTTGAGGGGCGGCGCGAGTGCGCGAAGGTGTTGGCGCTTCGCGCAGCGCGAATCGCGAACCTAGGAACCTTTGATATCCATCTCGACTGCGTCTTGACCTTTCTTGGAAGGGGCGCAAAGAGGCCGAGGCGCAGTGGATATCATGGTGAGGGGGCCGAACGATCATTCACTGTCCCTGGGTGCGTGGCTGACGTGGGGATCCACGGCGAGGATTCTGCTTGTTGCCGCGTCGTCCCCCCCGCGACCCACCCGCGACCGACCCGCGACCCGCCCGCGACCCACCCCGCGACCCACCCCGCGACCCTCCCGCGACCCACCCGCGACCCACCCCGCGACCCACCCACGACCCACCTGCGACCCACCCGCGACCCACCCGCAACCCACCCTCGACCCACCCCGCGACCCACCCGCGACCCACCCGCGACCCACCCAACCCGCGATGCACCCGCGACCCACCCCGCGACCCACACCATGTTGATTCGATTACAGCGCAAAAAATTAGCGCCCGCGGCGAGCTTCAATGCATTGGCTTAGGGGAACGCCACCACCGCTCGACCCACCCTCCGACCCACTCGCAACCCCACCCGCGCCCGCGACCAACCCCGCGACTCACCCGCGACCCACCTGCGACCCACCTGCGACCTACCCGCGAACCAGCTTGCGACCTTCCCGCGACTTACCCGCGACCCACCATGCGACCCACCCATATTGCTTGAACGAAAAAGCAGCGCCTGCAGTGGGCTCGTTGTACAATTTGTGAAAAATAAAGCGCCTGCGGCGGGCTTCTGCGGAGCCTCGCAGACTGCAGGCGTCCCTTCCGCCTCCTCACTCTTATCCGCCACTGCGAGGTGCTACGTAGACCAGAAGCATCGAGCCTCCAGGGGCCAGATTTTGATCGAGATCCACTGCGCTTATGGTTTCTGGGTAGGGGAGCTCGGCACTCCAGGACGCCTGAAATGCGCAAGGTCCGAGCGTGGTCGTCTTGGCGCGGTCAAGGCGCTGAAAAAAAGGCACTGTGGGGCTCAGGAGGATCGGGGCTTCAAGCCGTTTCTCAGAAACTCGGAGGACCTGTTCGTGGCCAATGCTCGCCGTGGCCAGAAACGCTCCTTCGTTTCCTTCCTTAGCGTTCCTTATGGTAGCACGTTGCCCGTCCTTGCTGTCACGGAGGCTGCGCGTCAACACCGCGTCGGAGGAACTTGTGGTGTCGGCCGTGGCGATGGGGATCTTCATATTTGGGCGTCGGGAATGTTGGCAGGTCTTGGCGGGCGCTCTTGGCCCAGTCGTGGCTTTCCCCTTGTAAGGCGTTATCCAATGGGTCCTCTCTTGCTCAGAAGGGCCAGGACGAGGATGCATCGCGTCAGTGCGTTCCGGAACGCTCTCAGACCCTTCGGATGGCTCCTGAGTGGTCGCGGCGCCCAGCTTCCAAGCCCGCCAGCTCCTGGAGATCTCCGATTTAATTTAGATCTGACTTTACCTTCGTCCTGGCTTAATTTTACAGGAAAGCTATTTGCCATTCCCTTCTCGGCGTTGGTCCCCTGGGTGTCGCTGGCGGATCACCAATGGGTCGCCCAGGAATGAATCGGAGATCGGTCGGCTTCCCAGGCTGACAGGGGCTCTTGGAGCGGTCCCTGGTCGCCTGGGGTCCGCTATGTCGCTCGACAGTCACCCAGGCGTTGTTTTGTCCTGCGTGTCTTTGTTTTGTCTTGTCTTGTCTTGTCTTTTCGGCAAGTCTTGCATAGTCTGCTATGGCGTGCCGTTCAATGCAGAGCAATGCTTTTTGTATGCTATGCCATGGCACGTAATGTCATGCCACTGCAGGATCCGGAACTGTAAAAGGCTCCTCCCCTCGTCCCACCCCACGGAGGCATTTGCGGACTCCTACAGATCATTCTTCCCCCTAGAGGATGCTCCCTCCTCCTCGTGCTGCGCCTGGAGGTAGCTGGGCGCCTTGTGGCGGTCCACGCCTTGCGCGCGCACGGCCGCCCTTGAGGCAGTCTCATGGGGCCCTTCAGGCCTCTCTGTGTGGCTTTCGCGGGCCTCAGGCAGAGTTCCCTGGGGCCCTGTGGGGGGTCAACAGGGGCAATATTACCCATCGGTCGTGGAAATTATACGTATTTTTGGAGTCCCAGATTCCAATATACTATGCCGCCGGCCTACTTCAAGAGTCGAGTAGTTTTCCCTCTTACCTCCTCTTTAGGAGGCGGTCGGAAATCCAATCTACTTTTAACGCCTTCCTGCTTCATGGATCCACCTACTTCCGACCGACGGGTAGGGGGGATAGGCTCAGGAGGTAACACATCGACCCCCAACCGCCTTTCGATCTTCGATAGGGACCTGATACTTAGCCCACCCTGCCCAGGAATTGGCGGTTTCGCTATCGGGGGATTGCAGACGATCTGTCGGCGATATGTCGCTGATTCCAGGTCGATATTTCCCCCTTCAGCTGGTCACCCCCTGTCGTTCCGCCGCAGGTCAACTCTTCCTGCAGAGATGTCCACGCCCTTGCAAGGAGCGACCGCGTCGGGACCCTCTGAATATTTTCAAGGAGCCTCTCGTCAACTCCCCCGTGCATGGGTGTCAACGTGCCCTCTGTTTCGGTCCGGGGGGTCTTTCGCGTGCAAGTGCAGCTGGTACGAGGGCCAACTACAAACCTAGGTTTCGGAGTGGTGTCCTTCGCCGTTGCCCCCCCCGCCTTAGGATGTGCTTCGTTTTTGGCATCTCCATGGGGGCCTCGGCCCTCGGCGAAGGGGGCTCGTGGTCTTGATCCACGTTCTTGTGGCCCTGGTTCGACGGTGCTCCCGCATCGTGTCGAGCCAGGGGCAGGTTTGACCTGCTGCTCCCAGCAAGCTGCACGCGCAGGCTGCGACGCACGCTCCGCGCACGGGGCTCAAAGCGCGCAGGTGGCGCATATACGTAGGCGGCGCCCGCGAACTGCGCCCGCGTGCTGCGCGCCGAGGTTGCGTGCCCGGGTTCCGCGCCCAGGCTCCGCACACTCGGGCAGGGCCTATCTCGATCCGATCGATTACGGGGCCCACAGATATACACCACCACCACCTCCCTCGCCCCCTCTATCTCCCAAGAAAAAAGGGGAGAGGAAGGAGAGGGCAGAGGAGGGAGGAGGAACGGAGCAGATCGGGCGACGAGACAGAACGGCTGCACCAGCGATGGAGCTGAACAGTGGAACCGAGAAGCGAGTTGCCCATTATGCTGGAGAGAGGAAGGAGACAGACGGGACGGCCGCGGAGGAGGAGAGAGGATGGGGCCTTCTCCGCACACTCAGGCAGGGCCCACTCCGATCCGATCGGTGCGATTCCAGTCTGGCCTGCCCGATCCGATTCGATTCCGTCATTCCGGCGGTCCGCTGCGGCCCGAAGTTTACACGGGCGGTGGTGCTGCATCCACGCGCAGCGGACCCGAGTCGATGTCGACTCCGTGCCGACCTGGCCCGATTCGTTCGACTTGCCGATTCGATGCTGACTGATCCTGCCCAGGTTGATTGAGCCCGCAGCCTGCGCGCGCGGGCTGTGCCCTGGCTGCGCACACAGGCGCGCGCGCAGGTCACCAGTGCAGACACTGCGCGCGCAGCTTGCGTGCGCAGCCCGCGCACCTCCGAGGTGTCCTCTTTTCTTGCTTCCGTTCGATGTTCATTCATGGGAGCCTTGGGCGGCGAACGTGAAATCAGCTTTTCCTGCATTTAGACTGCGTTCGGTCCGCAGTTGGTTCTTCCTCCTGCTCCTCCTCGCCCTCCCTGTTCCCCCTTCCCCTCCTCGTCGTTCTTCTCGTCTCTGCGAGACCGGTCCAAAGCTGGCCCAAATCCAGTATAAATCATGTCCAGATGTGCTGCTGCAGGTCCTGCCGCGATGTCGTTGCGCCGCTTTTGCAGCGCGGATGCCGATCGGAACACTCAGAAAGAGCCCCAGGTCGTCCTGGGAATGTCGTTCCATATGTTGTTGGGACTTTCGAGCGGATTTTCCGGGAGTCAGGGAATGCGTAACGAGAGGTAGATCTATCTGCGATTCCGCCGTCGGCGTGCATTGGCGTGCGCTTGGGCGACGCGCTCGGGCTCCGCGCGCAGGTCTCCAGTGCAGATCGTGCGCGCGCAGCCTGCGTGCGCAGCCCGCGCATCTCTGCGGCGTTCCTCTTCGCGTGCTGCCGCGGGCCTGTCCCAAAGAACAACACACTGCATAAACATGCACTTTTGGAGCTCCGCACGGAGTTCTTCCATCGGAACTGGGCCCCTCTGGCAGCACCTCCGGGCGCTGCCCCTGGCGCGCTCCGCGCGCTCTTCGTCGAGCCAGTAGATCCGTGCGGCGCTCCGAAGGTTTAGGATTGTGTTAATTTCGTCTCCGTCAATTCCTTGCTCCATACTGCTGCGGTCCTGCAGCGATGACGGACGTCTATCGCCTGTCGCGCCCCGTGCTCCGCACCGCCAGGCCTCAAGATCGACAAGGACCGCTGGCCGTGTGAGAAATGATGAGGCGGTGCGGGCAAGATGCGCACTCCAGATTTCGTAACAAAAGGGAGGGGGTCTGACCCTCCAAGACAAGCCATTGCAGACCTCCCCCGTGGGAGAACCCTCCAAAACATCGTCCCCAGACCCCCCAGGCCCTCCAAGATAGCCTGGACGAGACCCCCCCCGAAATGAGACCCCCCTCCCTTTATTACGAAATCTGGGGTATCCATATCCACTGCATCTTGGACTTTCCGGGAAGGGCGCCAAAAGCCCGAGTCGCAGTTGATAAGGATAAGAGACGAGCCTCTCGGGACCAGATTTGGGAGGAGAAGGAAGAGGAGCCGAGGCGGAGAGTAGGAGGAGGAAGAGGAGGAGGATCCGAGGCGGGGATTCCTCAAGAAACACCGCCAGTGGGAACCACCGTCAGTGGGAACCACCGTCAGTGGGAACCACCGTCAGTGGGATCGACCTTCTGGGACCTCGGCAGGGAGGTGGCTGTGGACAGAAATTGTGGCCGTGGTGGGGTCAAATCTAGCCATGTCCCCCGCGTGCCGAAGTTCTCGAAGATCGATCCCCCAGGCGGTGGTGATGGACAAGCCCCCACCTCGCAAACGAGGAGGATGGGGAGGCCGCAGGAGGATGAAGAGGAGCGGCTTCGAGGGTGTCCTTGCCTCGGTCGAATCGCCTGCATCACAGTCGGTTGGGTTCGGTCCGGTTCGGTCCGGTTCGGTCCGGTTCGGTCCGGTTCGGTCGGTTGTCGCGTCGCTGTTGCACCGCTGCGTCCTTTTTACGCTGTGTTCGCTTGCTTCGGGCTCGGCCGGTCGCTAGCAGCACGGGCAGGCTGCAAACAGGATCGGGCGAGAAGAACTATGCACGCACACCTATCCTGCCCGTGCCCCTCTTGGCCGGGCCTGGCCAGGATCGGTGTACGTGCATCGTTCTCTTTACAGGAGGCGCATGGCCTGCAGCCTGAAGGCCAGCGCTTCACCGGAGCCCTCCCGGGGGGCGGGGCGCTCCCCGCGAGAAGCCCAGCGCGGCCTGCTTCACGCGTTCACGGTGTGCCTTGCCCTAACGCCGGCCACTGATCAGACGGGCAGGCTCGAGGCGCGGCCGGAGGTGGGGGTGGGGCATGGAGCTCCTCCGTCCCCCAGCCTCCAACGTGCTCCTCCCACATCCTTCCAACTCCTCCATCCTCTGTCCTTCTGGCTCCCAACCCCAAATCTCCACTCTCCGACCTCCATCATCCAACCTCCAGCCTCCCCCCTCCGCGCGGAACGAGGCGCGTGCGAAGACGGCAGGGGAGTGTGGAGGCAGGAGGATGGGGTCGCTGGGTGAGATGGTGCAGCGCTGTAGTGTCAGGCAGCTCTATTCGGGGTAGTATTAAGTCGGACGTGTCCCTCTACAGGAGGACAGTTCAAACATGGTAAGAAATAGTCTTGGGATGGCTTTTCTATGTTTTACTATTCCAGAGTATTTTCGGACTATGCTTCATTTTTCTTCCAAACTCCGCCTGCAGGGGGACATGGCTGACAGAAAGATAGCATCAGGTTGCTCCAGAGCGGACCGGATCCTGGGCATTGGAAGAAGACCGAACCAGACAGGTCGATGTAGGAATTCGGCACCGATTGCCACGACAGTGGCATTCGCAGTGTATAGTGGTGCGGTGTCAGTTCCGCCACATCTGTCACGCCAGATACATTCGTCAGTCTTTCTGCCGTTGGGTAGTTATTCTGCCCAGGTGCACGCGGAATCGAGTGCCCTGCGCACCCGTGAATTGCCCCCGACCTCCATTGTTGAAGGGCGTTTTGGTAATTGGAGTTCTGTAATCGCTTCCAGAGCGGCTTGGAGCGCTGCGAGGTGGAGAAGCAATTGGACAATCCATGAAGCCGCCAGAAACTTTCCAAGCCGCTGAGAACCTTCCGAGAGCACCCCAACACTTTCCAACAATTCTCCTTCTCCACACCCTCTCCTTTCTCCTTTCCCCTCTCTCCTTCCGATCCCAATCTCTGGGACCCGAGGGCACTCCGCTTCGTGCCTCGAGGCACGGTAATTAGCGGATTCTCTGGGAGGGATTTGGGCGCCTGTGGCACGAGGGAGGAGGCTGTTCGTGCGTTTGACTGTGTGCGTGCGATGCTGCACTTCAACTTCGGCACCGCCTGATCCCAGGGCTTCGCCCTCTCTCGGCCCCGACGTGAGGCCCCGCCTTCGTTTTGCCCTCCCTCTCTAATTGATGCTGTGCGCGGCCCGCTTAGCATCTATCGGAAGAGGTTCGCTCTCGCCCCGCAGATAATACAATTGTGTGCGTGCGATCGTGTGTGCTTGTGCGTGTGCGTGTGCGTATGCGTGTGCGTGTGTGTGAGTGTGTGTGTGTGTGTGTTTGTGCGTGTGTGTATGTGTGTGTGGTGTGTGTGTGTGTGGTGTGTGTGGTCGTGTGCGTTAGCGTGCGCGTCCGTACGTGCGTGTGCGTGCGTACGTGTGTGTGAGAGAGAGAGTGTGTGTGTGTGTGCATGTGCGTCCATGTGCACGCGTGTGTGTGTGTGTGTGTATGCGTTTGCGTGCGGTGCGTGCGTGCGTGCGTGCGTGTGTGCGTGCCTGCATGCGTGCGTGCGTGCGTGCGTGCGTGCGTGTTTGTGCGAGCGTGTGCGTGCGTGCGTGTGCGCGTTTGCGTGTTTGCGTGTGCGTGCGCTGCGTAGTGCGTGCGTGCGTGTGTGCGTGCCTGCATGCGTGCGTGCGTGCGTGCGTGCGTGCGTGCGTGTTTGTGCGAGCGTGTGCGTGCGTGCGTGTGCGCGTTTGCGTGTTTGCGTGTGCGTGCGGTGCGTGCGTGCGTGCGTGCGTGCGTGCGTGCGTGCGTGCGTGCGTGTGTGTGTGTGTGTGTGTATGTGTGTGTGTGTGTGCGTGTGCGTGTGCGTGCGTGTGCGTGTATGCGTGTGCGTGCGGTGCGTGCGTGCGTGCGTGCGTCGTGCGGTGCGTGCGTGCGTGCGTGCATGTGTGTGTGTGTGTGTGTGCGTGTGGGTGTGCGTGTGTGTGTGTGTGTGCGTGTGTGTGTGTGTGTGTCTCCCTCATCGTTTCCTGCGCTCTCCGCGCAGGGGGGCCATCCGCACGTCTCCCGTCCTCCTCGTCCCTTCCTTCTCCTGGATTCGTCGTCTTCTGTTCGCTGGGCCGCCTCCTCTTTCCAGAGGCTCGGCCTCCCGTAGGATGTCAGATTCTTCGAGCGGTGTTTGTTCTCACCCCTTAGCGGGGCTTATCCTCGGTGATTCAATTCACCACGTCAATTTGACCACGCGCCCCTTCGCCCTCCGCCCCCCCCCGCGCCTCCCGTTCTCCGCCCCAGCATTTCCTGATTGCCCCCTGGGTGCGTTTGAACGCTTGCTTCACCGCGCCCCTCCTACGCATCTGAATTTGCCCCATCTGCCGTCGCTTGTCTCACCGCGCGCGTTCGCCTCGTCGCTGCGCGCGAGGCCGCGATCGCCAAACAAATGCGCGTTTGGTTTTGCTTGACCTTCGCTGCGCCGCGTGGCCGCGACGCTAATGCATGCGAGAGAGAGTGTGTGTGTGTGTGAGTGTGTGTTTGTGTGTGTGTGTGTTCGTGTGTGCGCTTGTCCGTGGGTGTTGCGCCACCATGCTTACCCGATTCCCCCGTCATCGAGTCGAGGCTGGCTGCTGTTTCTCCGCCGCGTCGTAGTCTTGTTGCCGCGCACACAGCCGCGACGCCCAAAAGTGTGTCTGTGTGTGTGTGCGTGCGCTTGCGCATTTGTCTGTGTGCAGGTGAGAGACAGAAAGAGGGAGAGACAGAAAGAGAGGGTGTGCGTGTGTGCGTGTTCGACAGGCGTGTTCCGCGTCGTTCCCCGCGTGGCCGCGTGCGTGCGTGCGTGCGCGCGTACGTGCGCGCGCGTGTGTGTGTGTGTGTGTGTGTGTGTCTATGTGTCTGTGTGTGTGTGAATGTTTGTGTGCTTGCGTTTGTGTGCGCGTGTCGTCATACGAAGATTTGTGCTCCCATGATGGCCCCCGCCCTGGCCCACCCAGGCGTCGCCGCTACCCGCAGCTGGCTTGCGTCAACTTTGCTGGTAACGTTTTTTTGTCCTGCTTTTGTGTAGTCGTAAAGTGGAGGGAGGTTCGGTTCAATCCTTCCCGCCTTAACGCTGCAGGACAACGCGGAGTGTCTCCAGGGCCGGGAACAGGTGATTAACAAGATCGGCGAGAGCCAGAAGGGCGAGGTCCGTTTTCGTTTTCCCCTCATTGTCTCTGTTTGTTGTGTGTCTGTTTGATGTTCTCTCTCTCTCTCTCTCTTTCCCCCTTGCGCTGCAAGTGTTGCAGGAGGGAGTGGAGGAAGCAAATACATAATACACCTAGATCTCACAGCGCCTGGTCTTGTGCTTCTTGGGCTTTGGGGGGGAGTCACCAGGCCAGGGGACCAAGAAAGCGACCAGAGGTGCAACAACATTGTCGCAATGAGATGGTCCAGAAGTCTTGGGGTCTACGTAGAAGACAGAGCACGACGTCTGTTTGAAAACCCCGAAACATGTCAAAACATCATTTTTCGAATTCCAACGCCATGATCAACCTGACTGTTGCGTTCTGACGATCCTGAATCGTGCCAGAACGCTTTTTCTTGGGACTTCAACACCGCGAATCAGCGTACCTGTTGCGCCTTCACAATCCAATCCTGAGTATTGCGAAAACACCATTTCTCGTAGGTTGACCATGGGAACCCATGCGTCTTCTGCAATTGCTTCAAAGGAACGTGCGCGGCGCCAGGGCTAGGGCCACATTTTGAAAACGAACCGCCCTCAATCCGCGAAGCTCTTGCCAATTGTTAAGACGAATGTGCGCCGCCCTGAGGTGAATATCTTACCATTTGTTGACACGTGTGTGGGGCACGACGGCGAGAGCCACATTTTGACAAGCACCCCGCCCGCCCTCACTCCGCGAAGTTCACGAAACAGTTTCAAACGACTTTGCGCGGCGGTAAGGCAACAGCCACATTTTGAACACGACCCGCCTTCCATGTGTTAAACTGTTGCCAGTGGTTAAGCTTCAGGATCATAAGTGGTGAGAAAGTCTCAGGCGAAACGCCGGGCCCGCCCTTTCGACCGCCGTCGGGGTGCAATAGGAAGGAGTTCTTTAGAAGGAAACGGATAGCAGGAGGAGGCGGAGGAGGAGGAGGAGGAGGAAGAGGAGGGAAGGGGGGGAGGGAGCGAGGAGGAGGGAGGAGGAAGAAGAGGTTCGGCATCGAGGTTCGACGGTCGCTGCCTCCCGACGTGCTTTGAAGCTTTTGGTCCACTGAAGGGCTCTTTTCAGAGTTCCGAGCAGGTTGCACCCATGGGGAAGTCCAGGGGCCAGTGATTGCGAGGAGACGGATTGAACAGATCGCGCTTGAGGTTTTGCCTCACTTGTCTGCCCCCTTTATCTCCCTCTCCCCCGTGTTCGCGCAGTCGAACGTAGATGGGATGGCCACTATGGGCTCAGGGAGGGCTCGGGAGGCCCCATGTTGAGCGGATGACCCGTCGGGGCACAGACGAGGATGAGGAGGATAGAGGATGAGGAGGACAGGGAGGGAGGGAGGATTACCAGGGTTACCGCCTTGACAGAGGGAGGGAGGGAGGAGGAGGTAGAGGAGGAGGGAGGAAGAGGAAGGAGGAGTGACGAGAAGGCAGGAGGTGGTAGGAGGAGTAGGGAGGAGGAAGAAGAGGATGACGAAGGGAGGAGGGAGGATGGAGTTGGAGTAGGAGGAGGGAGGAGGAGGAGGAATAAAGAGGGATTGATAGGGAGGGACACAAGGGTGAGAGGCAGGCAGGAGGACCTGTGCTAATTCTAGACGCATCATAGATACAGCAATAAAGCCGCTGGTCGTTGAAAGTAGGTAGTTCTGGACTCCTAGGTCCCAATCTACGTCAGAGCCTTCCTACTTCAAGAACCGATGTGCAATGTAGTTGTTTAGTTCTCTGTGGGCAGGCCCGAACCAAATCCACTTGATCCGCCTTCCTGCTTCATGTTTCCATGTCTCCCGACTGTCGGGTAAAGTCACGTTCCAAGCTTCCGCCTTACAGGTCCTGACGATCAGATATGCCTTTTCTGGGGAGTGTTTCTTTGGAAGGCAAGCGTCATATCATTTTCAAGCGTTTCAAGGCGCCCGTCATAGGATTTCGACGCCGCAGATCCACGTGGCCCGTGCATCGTGGCCGTTCTTTTTTAAAAAACCTTGTCGGAACACGGTTCCCTGGACTTCAACACCGCGAAGCAATATGATTTTAACGATTTGATTTGCCGACAGCGTGCCAACACACCGCCCTTCGGCAGGGCCCTACAATGATATCCTTCTTTTGGGAAGTCCCCCTGTGTTAGGCAACTGTCAGAGAATCGTGAACCGTTCAAACGCACCCGCCCTGGGACTTCGCCGCCGCAGATCCACGGCATGGCCTTTACACCTGAGAGACATCACCGCACGGCCCGTCACAGCACGGGCTGAGACCCCTTCAAGCATACGAACTTTTGAGAATGCTTCGAAAGTTTAAGACGAACGCGCGCGCGCGCGCGCCAAGGCGAGACCCACATGTGAAAAAGGAGTCGCCCTCCCTCCCTGAAGCCATTACGCACTTTTGAAGGCGAGGGTGCGCGGCGTTGAGGGCTACATCTTGAGAGCAGGACCGCCCTCCCTTCCGTGACACTGATGCAAGTTCGTGAGGCGTGTGTGCGCGGCGCTGATTCGGGCGAGATGAACACAGCTCGCCCTCCATTGAGCCGTCGTCGTCGTCCTCGTCCTCGTCGTTTTCGCCGTTAAAGTGCTGCAGATCTCAGGCTGCAGGGGCATAGATGTTGAGAGGTCTCGCGCGAGACGCCCAGCCCCACCTGCCGTCACGCCTGGGGGTGCGACAGTGAGGAGTCACTGACAAGGACATGAATGCAGGGGGAGGAGGAGGCGGATGAGAAGCGAGGAGGAGGAGGAGGAGGGTAGATGAGGAGGAGGAGCAGGAGGAGGGCAGATGAGTGACGATGGTGGTAATGTGGTGGTGATGATGATGGTGATGATGATGATGCTAATGCTGATGCTGATGCTGATGCTGATGATTACGATTAAGACGATTATGCCGACGGTGATGATGTTGATGATGATGCTGATGATGATGATTATGATGATGATGATGATGATGGTGGTGGTGATGTCGATGGCCATAGTAATACTACTGATGTTAATGATGCTGGTGATGCTGCTGATGATGGTGTTGATGTTGGTGGTGGTTGTGATGGTGATGCTAATGATCATAATGGCTATGATGGTGATGACAATGATGATGATGTTGATGATGATAGCGGTGATGCTGATGATGCAATGATGATGATGTTGATGATGTTGATGATGATGCTGATGTTGAGGATGATGATGATATTGAGGATGATGATGATGATGATGATGATGATGATGATGATGATGATGATGATGATGATGATGATGATGATGATGGTCATGATGATTATGTTGATGATTATCATGATTACGGCGATGGCGATGGCGATGATGATGTTGGTGATGGGTTGCTGCCTTCGAGGTTGTTTTTTCTGTGCCTCCCAGTGGGTCCTCAACGCCACCCGCGGCTGGCCGTGCCCCGAGTTTCTTTGGTCGGGGATGCTCCCCGGGAGAGGGGAGGCGGGGTGGGGCGCGGTAGATTCGTGTCGTGTCGTCGCGGCGTCGACTTAAGTCAGAAGCGCAGCAAAGACGCACGCGTTCATTAGTTCGCATCGGTGACGCAAGAGAACGGGGCCGATTGCGTGGATACTCGCGCGTCAGTTGCCCGTGTAAGATGGCGCGTCAGCGCCTTGGATTCAAAACTAGCTTCCTGCGTTGGCGGCCCGCGTAAGCCTCTGCGTAAGGTCCCCATGCCATCGTGCGTAATACCCTCTTCGTTATGTTGCTCTCCTTGGATTGGAGAGGACGCGTTACGCGAGCGTTCGTGACATGAATGCGGCCTCGCGAATTGAGCGGCATATATTATCCAGGGTCGATGGCTCAACGGCTGCCCACCCCGCAGATGGGATGGGTCCCAGGGCTCACAGTCCCCTCGCCCTGATTGGGTTGGGGGACAACGACGACGACGAGGACGACGAGGACGGACGACGAAGACGACGACTACGTCGACGGAGATGACGACGCCGGCGCCGGCGATGACGATGTCGACGGCGGCGGCGGCGGCAGCGGCGGCGACAACGACGGACGACGGACGACGGACGACCGACGACGGACCACGGACGATTGACGACGATGACGACGCCAAGCCACGCCCAAAAAGGGCCACGACCACAGGTGGGGGGGATCCATCGCGCGATGGGCAGGGTCCCGGAGGCATCGGCATGAGAGGGGGGGAGGGGCGGCCAGAGCCGTGGATCATACATCCACGTACGTGGCTGGGCGCGTATGTCTGTGTGAGGCTCTGGATCCAGCACGAAGGGTGGCGAGTGCCTTCAAAGCGGACCTCCTGTCCAGATATGTTTGGGACTGTTGATTAGTCCCTTTTCTTTTGTTCTTTCAGGCCCCTCGGCCACTTGAGGATCGGTTCCCGGCGATGCTTCGAGGAGGATGCTGACGAGATGGGATTCAGGGAGGGACGGTGGGTGTCACGAGGCTGAGGAGGGCGAAGAGGGACGAGAGGGGGGGGGCGAGGAGAGAGGAGGGTTAGCAGGAGGAGGAGGAGGTGGAGGAGGACGAGGAGGGCTCCGAAGAGGAGGAGTAGGAGAGGGGGAGGGCGAGGTGGGCTTTGGAAGGATGGAATCCCCCGTTATATTTGAGGCCCATCGTCTTCGGGGGCCTGACATCCGCTCCCGACCCCTCTTTGTGTTCGTGACAGCCCTTTGTGGCAACTGTGCTGCCCTCTCTTCGACTTCCTTCCTCCTCGTCCTCCGTCCTCCTCGTCCTCGTCCTCGTCCTCCTCGTCATCCTTCCTCCTCGTCCTTCATCCGCGTCCTACTCTTCGTCCTCCTCGTCCTACTCTTCGTCCTCCTCGTCCTACTTTTCGTCTTTCTCGTCCAACTCTCCTTCCTCGTCATCCTCCTCGTCCTCCTTCCTCCTCTTCCTCGTCCTCTATCCTCCTCGTCCTCGTCCTCCTCTGTCGTGCTTGCGGTGCTCTTCCTCCCCGCCCTTGTCCTCCGTCCTCCTCCTTCCCGCCGTGTCTCACACGCGGTTTTCGTTGCCAGGCGCGTGCTGTTTTTTGTGCGGTGCAAGTTGCTGTGTAAGCTGCTGTGTGAGCTTTGGGGGGGAGGAGGAGTTGGAGGAGGAGGAGGAGGAGGAGGAGGAGGAGGAGGAGGAAGAAGAGGGAGGAGGAGGAGGAGGAAGAAGAGGGAGGAGGAGGAGGAAGAAGAGGGAGGAGGAGGAGGAGGAGGAGGAGGAGGACGAAGAGGGAGAAGGAGGATGAGGAGGAGGAGGAGGAGGAAGCGGGAGAAGGAGGAGGAGGAGGAGGAGGAGGAGGAGGAGGAGGAGGGTGCTGCGCCAGCAGAACGTTCAATCCCGCCCCCTCTCGGTGGCGCGCGGCCCCCCCGCCGGAGCGCCACCTCCCGCGCGGGCGCGGCCTGCCGAGTCGCCGCCCGCCGGCAGGTGGACGAGGAGCAGATCCGACACGCCATGGCGGGGCGCAGCAGCTGCACTGCCCTCTCTCGTTTCCTCGAGGGAAAAAAAATGGCATAAACATAACAACCGATCGGTGGAATCCGCGCGGACCTACGAGTTGTTATGTTTATGTCATTGGTTGATTTCTTATTCTCTGCAGCGTATACATAGAAGACACACGAATACCATATTTTGCAATTCTCCCGTTCTTCCTCCGTTTCGATGTTATCCTTTTCACACTTGTAGTTACGTTCATTGTTGGTCATTCTCACGCTCGACAGACTGATATTTCCCTTTGCAATCAAGATCACTATAAGTATTACCCTTCATCTCCTTGTCCTCCTCCATCTACCTAGCCGTCCCCCTTGTGCAGGCGGACCCGGAGATCCAGCAGATCTTGCACGATCCTCAGATCAGCATGTTTTTGAAGCAGATGCAGGAGGGAACCGCTCCTCTGCTCCTCGCGAGGGGGGGATCTTTCCGTTGAATCGTCTGGGGACCTCGTCCGTCCTGCAGATTGCAGATTGCGGGGCGATGCAGATTCGACGCGGATTTGATGTCCCTTCGACGTGTACGATGCGGATTCCACGCGCTCGACATGGGTTCGACGCGGATGCGACACGATTCACCATGAAGAGTCTGGAGTTCGGTCCGGCCCGGGCCCGAAGGTCCAGGTCCTCCGACTTGAAGCCAGGCAGGCAGCACCGGGGGTCCCGAGCAATCGAGGGACGGGCGGGGGGGCGAGGGAACCACCCGACCATTCCTGAGATCTGGGAGTCACAAGTTGTTCTCACGTGGGCCTTTTTCCCCTCCCCATGGGTTACGCTCGTTACCCGGGCCCTCGCCCCCCGGGTAACGCTAACGATCGTACTGGGGGGGTGGCCTGGACCCCCCCGCATGCTGTGGTGCACACAAGGGATTGATGCGCCGGTGGCGCGGACGCACTCTGGCGGGCGCCCGCCGCGGCGGCCGTTACCATTACCCAGGGTGGTGACCGTTGCGGAGGGAAGAACAAAAAAGCGGTCACCATCAGGCGTCTTCGTTTGGTGTGGGGCCTTGGGGCAATCACAGGTCGATGCAGCTCGAGCGATGCAGTAGAAGGACAGGGTCTGGGGCTCCAGTCGTGATTTCTACGGTACTGGTTGGAATTACTGTTGCGCCAATTCTGGGACTCCGCCGGGTACGTCGCCAACCTGCCTGCTGAGAAATGGCTGTCGCGTGCTCTGGTATTACGGTCACCTGCCGGGAAGAGGTCTAAGTGGAAACCTCGGAAAACGCGGGAATCCGGATGCTCAGTGTTTCTGTTGCTGCGACGAGTGCTGGCCTGTTGCTGGAAAGAAGCAGCCAAAGACACATGCTCGGAATCGTATGAGAGGAGATTTTTCTTCACCACATGAGCGCCTGCTACGGTCGACCCGCATAGTAAGGACGGGCAATTACCTAACAGCGAAGACTGATAGGTTTCGAATGGTTTCAAAAGAAAGCATCTTGACTCCTCAGGGGGGTCTGGGCAGATGCCGGACGGGATGCCGGGGAGAATCCGCGGAAGTCGTTTTAAGCAAACAGTTACGCACTTCGTGGTCTTCGAGGTCCCGGAACTTCATTCCTGGGCATGTTTTTGAATGCCCTGAGCCAACTGTAGGCCACTTCGTTGTCTTCGAATTCCCAAAACTCCACTCCTGGGCATGATTTTGCATGCTCGAAGCCAACTGGAGGCCACTTCGTGGTATTCGAGTTCCCAGAGTTCCATTCCTGGGCATGACTTTGAATGCCCGGAGCCAACTGTAGGCCACTTCGTGGTCTTCGAATTCCCCAAATCCCATTCCTGGGCATGATTTTGAATGCTCGGAGCCAACTGTAGGCCACTTCGTGGTCTTCGAGTTCCCAGAATTTCATTCCTGGGTATGATTCTGATGTCAGGAGCCAACTGTGGGCCACTTCGTGCTCTTCGAATTCCTGGAACTCCACTCCTGGGCATGACTTTGAATGCCTGGAGCCAACTGTCGGCGTCGTCGCCGTCGTCGCGCCAAGCTGTCTCACTTTTGCCCGCGGTGCTTCTCAGCCCGCAGTTTCTTTTCTGGACGCGTCGGTGCTGATGGGGCAGCACTGAGTCCTTTGCAAACAATTCAGTGGGTAGTGAGATACGGGGCGCCTCAGTCTGCATCCTGCATGCAGTTTTGCTGCTGTGCAAACGATGGTACAGACCAACGCAGTAGGGAGATAATGCAGAGCGATGAAAACACGGATACAGACACGCATTGCAGCGCCTGCATGTTATTACTGGTGTTACTACTACGACTACTACTACTACTACTACTATTATTACTACTACTACTACTACTACTACTACTACTACTACCACCACCACCACCACCACTACTACTACTACTACTACTACTACTACTACTACTACTACTACTATTACTACTACTACTACTACTACTACTACTACTACTACTACTACTACTACTACTACTACTACTACTACTACTACTAGATCTACTACTACTAGTACTACTACGACTACTACTACTACTACTACTACTACTACTACTACGACTACTACTACTACTACTACTACTACTACTACTACTACTACTACTACTACTACTACTACTACTACTACTACTACTACTTCTACGACTACGACTACGACTACTATTAATTCTACGACTACGACTACGACTACTACTACTACTACTACCACTACTACTACTACTACTACTACTACTACTACTACTACTACTACTACTACAACTACTACTACTACTTCTATTTCTACTATTACTACTACTACTACTACTGCTACTACTACTACTACTGCTACTACTGTTACCACTACTACTACTACTACTGCTACTACTAATTCTACTACTACTACTACTACTACTGCTACTACTACTACTACTACTACTACTACTACTACTACTACTAGGCTGAGGCTGAGGCTGAGGCTGAGGCAGGCTGAGGCTGAGGCAGGCTGAGGCTGCGACTGCGACTGCCGTTGCCGCTGCAACTACCATTGCGACTGCGACTGCGACTGCGATTGCACCATAATTCTAAAACGGGACTCCTACATGAATATTAAAGGCAATGCTTCCATATATGCTTCTAAACATCGCTGTTAGGTTGCTTTGCCGGGATATTTTTTGCATCGTTGCCATTTCTGCCCATCCTTGGCCCCTTTCGCCGGCCCGCCTCGCTCGAAAAACGTTGGCAAGGCTTCCAAGGCCCTTGCATCCTTGCCGCGCATCCCTTATGATGCGGGTTGGCTTTCGTTTTCACCCAGCTGTGCCCGAATGTCACCGCCTACCAAACCACCCCAACCCAACCCGAAGGCTCCGATTTGCCTTCTATTTCCAGTGGGGGAGGGTCGGGGAACATTGCAAAAACACGTGTGGAACCCGTGCCCGTACCCTACACATGAAATTCGGGCCTTCGGGTCGGATTGGGGTGGTCTGGTAGGTAGTCATATGGGAAAGAGCGTGTTCTACCGCATATGGGAAGTCATATGGGTTGGAGTGGTCTGGTAGGTAGTCATATGGGAAAGCGGCGGTGGATCACGTTCTCTCTGATATGGGGGCTGCCCCTTCGCGGACACGCAGACTTGACCCTTGACCCGCGCCACTGTTCACAGCCTCGGGGGCTCGCGCTGTGAGCTCACTCGCGGCGTCGGAGGTCCGAGGCGCCGCCCTCTCTCCTCGGGCGCGCCCGCGCACCTGCTGAGGCCTCCGGCAGCGTGGCCTGGCCCGTGGCGTGGCCCGTTTCCCCCCTGCCGTGATCGCTGCGACCTCCAGCAGTTGCAAAGTTTTGGCGATCCGCGCTCGGCGTTTGGGGCGCCACGGCGGCGCCTCAGGCGCCGCCTGCGCTTCGCGCGCCAGGGAGGGGGCCTAGCGCAGATCCAAGAAATCTGCGCGGAACGCCAAAAGTTTATGTATGCCGTTTGTGTCTTCTTCTATTGCATTGATCGCTGCGACCTGCAGCGGTTGCAAGGTAGCTACAGCCCGCTCGCAGGGCACCTTGCAAGTGGGCTGCAAGTCCGCGTGGCTGCTCCCAGCTGGGGCCGCGATCGACGCAGACCTCGAGCAGTCAGGCGGACTTGCAATCCACTCGCAGGCGAGCTGCAAGTGGGCTGAAACCTCCTTGCAACTGTAGCAAGGGTTGCAATGTTTTCCGGGCGCTGCAACCGAATTCGCGGACCCGTCCAGTTTTTTCCGCCCCGGGTCGCTCTTGATGGTCACGGGGGCCTGACATCAGCCCCTGGGACCCAGACCTCCTCGCGTCGTGAGAGGTAACGACGGGAGGCTTTGCCAATCAGGGCGCCATCATCTGGCCCCAAACCGTCAAATATTTGACAGGGATGAAAAGCCGATCCCAGGGAAATTAATTTTTCTCCTTCCTCTCCTTTCCCCGCCCTTCTCCCCGCCCCATCTCCCTCCTCCCTCTCCTCCTCCTCCTCCTCCTCCTCCTCCACCTCCTCATCCTTCCGCTTCCCCTCCTCCCCCCGCACTCTGGGACTTGGTCCCCGCGTGCTGGCCTTGCCGCGTCTGGATTCTTGACGTTTCCTCCTCCGTCGCCCCCTCCTTGCCCTCCCACTCCCCCCCGTCTCATGGACGCCCCGCCTCTCTATTCCAGACCTCCGACGCCGTAATTTGTTGTCACATTATGGTGCCCTGAGGTCTCCACCTTCTCCCCGGGACCAGCTTTAGATCCCGAGCGGTTCTTGTTTCTGGGTCCTTTTTTGCGGCCTCCTTGTCTCTCTCCTTGCCCCTCTCTTGCACGCCGGCCAATTAGCCATTCGGTTGCCACGAATTGCCACACGCTGGAGCGGACCGCCTCTGCCTCGCCGCCGACAAGAATAGTTTCTGCGTCCCCGGGGCCCCGTGAGGGCCCCTGGACGCCGAACAGTTGAGAAGCCTGCCAGTCGCTATTTTCTCGCACCGGGAGGGTGTCTAGAGTCCTTCACTCCTGTTCCCCAGCCGCCGCCGCCATCGTCGCCGCCGTCATTGTCGCCGCCGCCGTCGCCGCCGCCGCCGTCGTCGTCGAGCTGGCAGTGGCCTTAAGGTCAGATTTCGGCGGCGAGCGAGGGGGGAAGTGAGAAGAAGAAGAAGAAGACCTTATCAGAAGGCGGCGGGACTTCTCAGAAGGCCTCTCGCCTCCCGAGAAGTTGTTTGCGTCGTCGGTGCAGGCTCAGAGAACTCCTCAGAAGGCCCGGGGACTTGCCAGCCTGCTGAGAGGGCCCGCCCCTTCTCACTTCCCCCCCTGGCTCGCCGCCGAACAACGGCCGCTCGCCGCGGGGGCGCGACGCTTCAGGAGAACCCGAAGCAAGCGCAGCAGGCCATGATGCAGGACCGCGGCGCGCGCTCCCCCCGTTGTCGGGGGTCGTTGGGGGTCACACGCTCCGCAGCTTCCATCATGGGGCCCGCGCGGGTAAGTCCCCGGGAACCTGGCACCGTGCGTGCATTGCGGGGGGTGGCGGCCCGTGTTCCCATCCCACCATCATAGGGGGAGGCGAAGTCCCTGAAGACGGGAAGGGGTGGGCCGGCTGAAAATCAAAGGAGGCATCATAGCCTCATCACTGACCGTTCGCATTGGCATTCATCTCATGCGTGGCGGCACGCTCTCCCGTCGGATCATGGACAAATCACGACGCGATGCTTTTCGGTATACTCAAGAAGTTTGCGCCATTCCGCCGACCCCCAGAGGAGAAACGAACTCCACGGGAGAGCCTTGGGAGGCCCCTCGTGGGCGGCCGTTTCGGGCCTTCTGGGGCGCCTGCTGGCGGTGTCGGGGGTCCTCTCGGGGTGGAGGGCTCGAAATGTCAGATCGAGTTGTCCCTCTTGGGCCCCTTGTGGGACCCAGTGTTGCGGCCCTCTTGGGCCGTCTTGGGCGACTCTTGGGCCGTCTTGGGGCCCTCATGGGCCGTCTTGGGCCCCTCTTGGGAGCTTTTGGGGCCGTCGTGGAGCGATTTTTGGGGTCGCTTGAGCAGTCTTGGCGCTGTTGGGACATGCTAAAACTTGACGCATTCCCCATGAATTGGGCAGATGTTTGCCTCTCGGGGCTTTCTTCGGGGTCCTCTTGGAGCCTTGTTGGGGCGTCTTGGGGGCCACGTTGGCAGTCTTGACGCCATCTGTGATGTGCTCGAGCTCTCCTCGGCGTGTTGGCAGAGGCCCCAGGGGTGCGTGTAGGAGCCCGGGGACCCACGCGATCTTGGACCCTGGGGGAGGGGACGGGGGCGGCAAAGAGGGGGGTGATGACTAGGGGGGGGGGATATCATGGCGGTGGCCATGATGTTTCCCCAGGTTTCATGGCGCCTCCTCTTATTGCATTACGTCCCTGGCTCCCCCGCTGGGCCGCGCACATGCCGCTGGTCATGATTTGCACCCCCCCTCTCTTGGACCCCCCCTCTTGGCCGCTCCCGAGAGGGGACGGGGGGAGGGGGGCAGCCACATGTCTCACACGCCTTCTCATCCCCCGCACGCGAGGGTCGGCGGATTCGGCCTCTGGGGGGCCCTCACCGGGCCCCGGGCCTGTCGAAGATCGGCTCGGGATGCAGCACCAGTCCCTCGAGAGGGGTCCACGTCGTGAATGAGTCCTGACGTCGGGGGTCTGGGGAGCACGAGCCCAGGCCTCACAAGAGGGGCCAGAGTAGACGGTATCGGATGATCGCGCCGCATCGCGACAATTCCGTTGGTCTCGCTCTGGCCCTCATCTCCTTGTCCCGACAGGGCGCGACCGAGGCCCCTGTTGAGACTGGGGCCCAACATGGGAATTGGTTCGGTTCTTTCTCTGACGCTGCGCATGGCAAACCGGAGGCTGGCGACTCGGTTCCTTCCAGTTGGTCGCCCCTGGAGCTCTCGATTCGTTCCCCGGGACCGGCTCCCAGCCCCGGATCGCAGGGGTCGGCCAAATCGTTTCGTTTTTGGCAATATCGTGGATAGTTGTTTGTTTGCATTTGGGTTTCGTTGTACGTTTCGCTTTGGGGCCTATCATCTTGCGGGCGACTGACGGGTATAACAGTAAGTTTTCCCGGAATGGGCGGAGGCCCAGGGTTCTTTTGAAGCTCTTCACCCCCGGCCTCGACTTGAGGTGGGCCGGCGAATTTAATTTGTGATAGAACGACGAGGTCGAGGTGGACCGGGGAATCAAACATCGAGTAAGCATTCTCGTTAATTTAGGATTTCTCGAACGAAGCGCTTGTTTTGCATCATGTGTTCAGGATGTCTCGAGCGAAACGTGTGTCTTGTGCTATAGATCGGTCCTGTCTTGGGGACCAGAATTCAGAGGATGTCTCAGGTGAATTGCTTGTTTTCCTGTGCCCAGGTCTTGAGGATGTTTCGAGCGAGACGCTTGGTTTCACGCGTTATGGTTGCCCAGGCAGATGTCTAGCATGAGAATGTGTTGGGGACGTCTCGAGCGAGACGCTGGTTCTTACGCGTCCAGGTCGGCCAGGCAAATGTCTAACATGAGGATGTGTTGAGGATGTGTTAAGCTAATCGCTTGTTTTCACGTGTCCAAGTCGCCTAGGCGGACGTCTAACATGAGGATAGTTTGAGGAGTGTTGAGCGAAACGCTTGTTTTCACGTGTCCAGGTCGCCTAGACCCTAGGCGGATGTCTAATATGAAGATGTGTTGAGGATGTCTCGAGCCAAACGCTTTGTCTCACGTGTTCATGTCGCCCAGGCGGATGCCTAACATGAGGATATGTTGAGGATGTCTCGAGCGAAGCGCTTGTTTTCACGTGCCCAGGGCGCTCAGGCGGATGTCTAATATTAGGATCTGTTGAGGATATCTCGAACGAAGCGCTTGTTTTCATGTGCCCAGGGCGCCCAGCTGGATGTTTAACATGAAGATGGATTGAGGATGTCTCGAGCGAAACGTTCGTCGCAGTAGAGCGCATCGCAGTCCAATCCCGCCCGTCCGTGGTGCGTCCCGTAGCTCGCTGGCGTGTCCCCTGGCGCGTCCCTTGCGACGTTCTAGCGTGACGTTCCCTGGCACGTCCCCTAGGACGTCTCTCGGCGTGGCACGTTTCCTGGCTCGTGCTCTGTCGCGTTTCCTGGCTTCTCCCCAGGCGTTTCCCCTGCCCGTTCCGTTGCGCGCCCATTGCAACGTCCCTTGGCATGACGTCCTCTGGCCGCCGCATGGCACGCGCCTTGGCACGTCCCGTTGCAGGTCCCTGACACGTCCAGGGTACGTCCCTTGATACGCCCCCTGACACGCCCCCTGGCGCATCCCCTATTGCGTCCCTGGCACATGCTGTGGCGCGTCCGTGAGGCTGTGCCCCGTGTCGTCTCGTTCTTTTCGGGGCCGAGTAGGATTTTGAGGTCGAGTTGATTGATCGTCCCGCACGTCGCCACTTCAAGTAGCTCTGGGGCAGCTACTATGTGCTTAGGCAGCTCAAGCTCAAGATCCAGATCAGTTCGGTCAGGGCTCGGATGCAACGGAGGACTAGATCCACAACGCTATAAAGCACAATCGCGGCATGGCACATCGCAATTCAACACGGCGCAGCACAGCACAGTACATCAAGATCGATACACTCAGCATTGCAATTGCCCGTCGCCCAAACATGTTATTTGAAACCGTTTCTATGCCCCACATTCCTATAACACTTTACGGGTTGGTGGAGCGATCACGTTCCGCCGTCGAGGGCGTTTGTCCCAGAGCGGCTGGAAAGTTTATACCCCTACCTACCACCGTAGGTGCATACTTTTCCAGCTGCCCTAGGACAGGCGATCCCGATGGGGGGAGTCCAGCGGAGAGCAGGTGGTCCAATAGATTTGGTGTAATCTATGTGTGGGGTTGCAACAGACTGGGTGTGTGCAGTACATTCGGGGGCGCAGATGTATTGCTGGGTTTTCGGGTGCAATGCATCAGTTGCAAGGCAATGCCATACAGTTCTTGGGCGCAATACATCTGCAACACAGTTGCCCCTTTTCAGCTGGACCCCCTTTGGGGTCACGAGGACAAGGCACGCTGCCGCTCTGGCCGACCCCTGCCGCATCGCCTGCCGACGGGCCCGCCATGGGGGGCCTCCACAGGCCGACCTGGCCGAGGAGACGCTGGCCCCCTCAGCTGTGTCGGGCGTTGAGCGAACGCCCTCCCAGACTCCTCCTCCTGCGCTTCCACCTCCTCCTCGTCCTCCTCCTCCTCGTCCTCCTCCTCCACACCTTACCCTCCTCCTCCTACACTCCTCCCCCCCCACCCTCCTCCTCTTCCACCTCCTCCAAGTCGACTGAGGAGCAGCTCTGACCAAGAGCAGTGATGCACAACTGCGGTTTGTTTATCTTTCAGGGGAGGGCCGAAGCCCAGGGTTCTCTGTTAGTTGTTTCCACTCCGGATCGACTTGCGCAGGGCCCGTGGGATTATGTGCGATAAAGAACAGGGTAGCGTAGGGCCTGCGGAATTGTTGTTATGCCCCGAGCGAAACGTTGGTTGTTGAAATTCCGATCGACAAAGCACAGGGTGAAGTAAACATATTCGTCTGTCGCGGATGTCTCGGGCGAAGCGCTTGTTTCGCAGTGATTCGCAACGCCGGCTCTCGTTTGTTGTTTTGCATTGTTTGACATCCTCTGAAGGCCTCTCGGAGCGAACCTTTTCAATGCACCAGCTTCGCGTTCGCAATGAGATGGCGTCTAAGTGCCACAAGGGTCGAGTCAAAGTCGGGCGCCCCCCGCATTGCGTTATCGCGCTTGCATATTCTCGACATGTTATTCTCGGATTTATTGGCCTGGGCGGCAGGAGCGGATCGCGGCGCGTTTCTCGCTCGAGGGGTGACGATCGACGCGGCGTCCACCATGGTTTTTGGCGGAATGCCGCGGCGAGATGAATTCCAGGGCCGATCCGTCAAATCTCCGCCGAGGCCAAGTCTCTCGTTGTGGGAGGGGGTGTTTGGTCGGACGGGGCCGCAGATGTGCTTGAGTTGTCTAACGTTGTCTCTCCCCCTTCTCCCTTTGATCTTTTGTATTTTTCCTGTTCTCTCCTTGCCTGTTTTCCCCTGGCGCCCCGTCAGTTCCCCCTCTTCTTGTCACTTCATCCTTCTCACCTCCCGTGCCCCTCCCCCTTCCCCCATTCGCGCCTCCCTTTCCTCATTGCTTGCTTGTTCTTGTGCATCCCTTCATCCTTCCTTTTCGCAGCCCTTGCTCCCCCCCTCGGGCAAAGCGCGGCTGGTAAAGGTTAACGCTCGCTGGCCCAATTGCTCTGGGCGTCGTCGATATATTATGTTTTCCTCATCGGCTTCTTTGCGCGGGGCTGATGTTCGGCCGAGTGTACTACAGGAAGTAAACTCCGCCTTGCTGCCAGCTCTCCCATGCCACGGTTGAAGAATTGGACTCCCTTCTCACAAGTCG